ATGATGACAGGTCACAATAAAAGCAAAACTAAATGTTGCACTTCAACTACGCTTTGTCTTGATTCAATCGCAGTTCGATCAAAATCAAATAAATCTCGCTATTCTTTTATAAGTATTAACGATGTTAATTTGAACAAAAAATGATCTGTCGTTATCAACTTTTTATGATTTTTCAGCGTTGCCATTTGATTTTACAGATTTCAAAATAAAATATCAAGTAATAACATATTCTATCTTTTTCTTTTCGAGAATTTATTTTTTTTGGAATTTTTTACACAATATAATTGTTGATGATTGTTTTCCCCTGCAATAGTATGCTATTTTCTTTTTTCTCTCTATGTTCGTTCTTTATATGATTGAATTTGCTCTTGACCTTCATCTTTTTGTTCTCTGTTCTTTCAAGGTCAATCCATAAGACTAACAATGACCTGAATATTTTTATTGCGTAATTTCCTATTACGCACTATTACTTCTTCTGACGCATTTATATATCTTCAATTTATAAAATACAAATATATAAGTTGTTATCTGTTCTTTTATACAATTTCATCGCAAGGAATTGCTTTAGTAATTTGTTCTTTCCATTATTTCAAAACGTGAAATAAACACATATAAAACTTCGTTCTTATATATAGAGCAAATCTACAATAATAAACATTACATGCTAAAATAATACGGAACTCTACAAAACTCTAAATTCTACTGCATCGACATTCTGCAACTACTGACGCAAATATCAGGACCTACAAATAATTGCTCGGATTGATTATTCACAAAACCAAGATATGTAAAATGAGTTCTTTGCTGTTATGCATACTTATTTCAAAATCCGTTCACATATTCAATTTAGAGGCATCTTATTTTGAACTTCCGATTAGAATAATTCCAGTAACTAAATGTTTGTTACGGAATTCTCTATTGTCGTAGCGAGCATAGTATGCAATATTCGATGCGTTCAATTTTATCCAAACAATTTTGCATCTAAAACTTCAGGATACCAAATTTCAGAAAAATGGCTGTCAACATATTTTGATGTGTTCTGTCATAACCGATAGTTATGATATAAATTTAGTTGTGAAATTATGTTCTGTCTTGTAAGTTGTCTTTCAGTTATGATGCGATCCATGACATTCTTTGATAGTTTTTTCTTGTCCTTCCTAACGAGTTAGATTTATGTCTCTGGAAAAAAGAAAAATCATCGGTATACTTTTTTACTCTTGTGCATTCGAGTTTGAAATAAAAGTCGAAATGAAATCAAACAGGGAAACCAGAAAAGTAATAATAGTTCTTTTAAAGGAGCCTATATATGCATTAGGCATGCACAAATGCTTAACTGAAGTTGAAATATAATAGAAAATTGACCATAAAATCCTGCAAAGAAAGGTAAATGATGAATTTTTATATAAATTATATATTTATAAATTGAATAGAGCACCACCATTAAAGCAGTAAGACAAAGACAAATAGAGATTTTACGTAAATTATATATCTGTAGATTCAATAGAATACCTCTATCGAGACAGTGAAGCAAAGGTGAATAGAGATTTGACATAAATTAGATATTTTTCAATTCAACAGTAAGTCCTCGATGAACGAGAAAAGCTGAAGTCAGTATTTTGCCACCTGTATTAAAATCAGAATACAAATTGGACATGTTTCATTTCTGTGTTTACAGAAATCTACATGCCCAAGTCGTTCATTCCTACAGCTGGATCCAATCGGATCTGAAAACGGGTTACCTCGGATCTTATATGAAAGCCCGCGAGAATCGACGGATTTCGGATTTTGAACCGAGATTCGGATCCATAGGATCGGAATCCGATACGCCAAAAAAGTCTGCTATAGTCAACCTCTAAAAACCTTTTTTGCACTAAATAGGATTTTAATCATTTTTTAAAATTCTCCCGTCGGATCCGTCAATAATTCCGAAGCCCACAATCCAATTGAATTTCTTCGGTTAGTATGATGTTATAGGGTCCGATAGAATTCTTCGTCGGATTAGTCGACCTGGTTGGTTGAAAATTCTCGCAGGGGAGCTCTTCATGATATTGAGAAAGAAAACTGGTTACACGAGCAGATAGCGTTTCAGACAATTGAATTCTAGCGATTTTTTGTTATAATCAATGGAGGTATTTTTTTCCACGAACTTAAATAATGTCTCGTATCGTATTAGAAAGTTGCGTGCCTTATCATTAGTACTAATAATTTTATGACAGAGAAATTTGCGATGATTCAGGCATGATGGTACTTATAAATTTCTAGAGGCCAGTTGGATGTCTTTGATTCAGTAGTATTTTAATTAGTGTATCTATCTCACCAGCAATGATTTTTTTAGACTCATGTGATAAGTTTAGCCATTCAAGTTCAAATAGTCTCGCATAGACGAATAATTATAATACCGATAGAACTATTATCTTTTACTTTTTTTGTCAGTTGCAACTGTAGCACAGTCTTTTAAGTTTCTTATTTATTTCCAATCTCTAATGAAATACTTCATGGAATCATATAACTAGTTTTATTGCTTCAGAGAGAAACAGTATAGTATTCACTGGTCATGATTTCCTCCATGAAAGTGTTCAACACTAGCTCTTTTTCATTTTATTTCGTATCAATGAATTCAATGAATATTATAAAAATGTTACAGCGCTCTATCTGTCATAATATGAGTAAAGCGAGTATTGCTTTCATTCTACTAACAATATTCTATGGTGTGTCATTCAGATTTTGAAACTGATGAAATGAACAAACAACAGATGATAAGACTTTCCCTATGCTTTAAAATAAGGTAAGCTTTAGATTATTCTTTTGCGAACTGTCACAATTAATTAGAAGAAATTCTAATAAATACGATAAAATATTAAGACGGAAAAGCCACACTATCTCATTTGGAAAGATCACGATGTAATGCAGTCCTATTATATTTAATGAAGATTTAATAATGAATAGGAACTTGAATGAAAAGCATCCAAACTTGAGTAATGGAATAGAATGAATCTTTTTGCAAAGACCAATATTAATGAAGCTGTCAGAGCTCATGAGATTCGTCGAGTTTTTTCATCAAGCACAGTAAAATGAAAAGGGAATGTTGTTTTGAACTTATAAGACAATTGAATCTTTCTCAGTTCATGAAAGAGATATTGGCATGGCAATCTAATTTAATATTACTTTACTCCTATTTCATGAGCTCATAAATAGATAATTTTTCTATGTTAGATATTTCTGATTCAGGCTAATGAGTTCCCCAAGAGAATATCTGCCTAATATTATCTTGAAATTCTGCTGTGAGTAGAACAATGTCAGAACAGAATGCGTTCTAATATAGCATGCTGTTTGAGTTTTGAAAATAAGCAATTGAATCTATTCAACACTTTTAAGAACATATCTGGCAGCTATCCATATCTTTATTTAATGCGTAGATAAAGAAAGATTGATTCGTATCTTTGTAAAATATCGATCTTTGCAATAGAATATTCAGTGAACAAGGAAGTTGAAGCGCATTTTTTAATGATACATCAAGCCTATCAAAATAATGTTTGTAGCTAGAAACAACACAACACAACATGATACGAATCCTTCATGTTGAAACTATAACCGAGTGACTTAGAATGTATCAAGCTCCAATTTTTGTAAAACTTCCAAGATAAACACCATATAGTTATATAGTATGCATACACCGTAAAATTTTTTCTCATGGCTGGAAAAACGAAATTTACATTATGAATCTTAGTGTAATTGAGTGCACGAGAACAAAACCAGCTTCACTCGCATCACTGTCTGTATGATACTTATGATTCTTTTATTGATACATTTGCGCATGAACACCTCATCCATGAACAATTAGTGAGACACGAGACTGTGAACTATGGTATCAGAGACCGTCACAGGGCAACTTTTTTTGCCCTGCCCTGCCCTGCCCTGTTTCAGGGCAGGCAGGGCATGATTATAAATTGAACTGAAATATTGCAAAAGGTAAAGACTAAATGAGAATGTTGTAACCGCTGAAAAGTAAAGTACTCATAGTTTATTTATCTATATTCGAGAAAATATAGATATGTGCTTAAAACATAATTAAATATGAGTAGCAAACAGCAATTAAGATTATCACAAAAATCAGTTCACTGCAAAAATAATGCGCTTATCGTGATCTGGCGAACTGAATGTGTATATAATTTGAATAAGTGAGAAATCGAGTAAATCTTTCACATTTATTCTCCTCAACTCATCGTGTTAGTGCTGGATAAATAAAGACTCTTCAAAATGTACCAGTAGCAAGAGATTCATTGTGTATTATGGGGTGGTAAGATTTATCATGAAACAAGAAATTTTCTAATTTTGTAGAGCCGGGCGAGTTCATATCAAGTGAAAATAATTTAAAACATAGAGAACTAAGCATACAAAACTAAAACATGCGAAGAAATACCATTAGAACATGTTGAATCTTTAAGTGAAATTTCCTCTGGAACACTAAGCTCATGTCTGAAATCATTTAGAAAAAAACCTCATCATACACATAATTCTTAAATTAGCTCGTTCTCTTATACAATATTAAATGATTCCACCATGTTTTGCATTTCTCTTTGAAGCAGTATTTTATTTTTATAATTGAATTATATGATAATAAATGAGTAAACTGGTATTGTCCGAACTAGACATAGTAACAAATTTCACAGTGACTGGCCCATAATGACATACATTATAATCCATCACTATGTCAGCATAATAGACTGAAAAATCTGCTGTATATCAGTTTATAGGAAAAATTATCAGGGCGCAGGGCAAACAATTTTGCCCTGCCCTGTGACGGTCTCTGTATGGTATTCTTCTTAAAGTAACGGTGTGATACAACGTTGTATGGTGTAAATTCTCATGAATTTGCTATTGAAATAACTCTTTTTCTATTTCGAGATATTAAAAAAAACTTTTTCTCGAAAACCCGTTCTATTTTTCAAGGCTCATCCATTATTAAAGTTCCGAATATTTCTAGAGGTAGGCCAATAAAAATGTCAACTCCACCATCCGATGCTCTACTTATTGCTTATTTGAAGAATGTGCTTGCACAAATAAATTTCTATTTTGGAATGTTTATATTTACTTTTGGTATTGTTGGTAATATCCTGAATATTCTGATCTTATCTCAACGATCTCTTCGTAAAAATCCATGTGTAATAATCTTTCTTGGATCTTCAATTGTGGGTATTATTGCAATTGTATCTGGTCTTGTTTCTCGAGTATTGTCTGGTGTAACAGCTGATTTATCAGCAACAGTTAATTGGATTTGTAAACTCCGTGGCTTTATTTTATTCTCATCACGAGCAGCTACATTTTGGTTGATTATGTTCGCAAGTGTTGATCGATGGTTTCTATCATCTACGAATGCTCTCCGTCGACAAATGAGTTCAATGAAAAATTCTCTTAGAGGCATAGGTATCATTACAATCATATCAACTATTATACATTCACAACTTTTCTATTGCTATGAAGCTAATCGTGTTGGTACGCCATTACAATGTTTTACAAAAAATACTCCATGTCGACTAATGAATGATTTAACATTTGCAATAATTACTATTCTAATTCCTTTGATATTTCTTATACTGTTTGGCTTGATGACTATATCTAATGTGCGGCAAACTCGAGGTCGTGTTGAATCTGCAGTCCTAACTATTGCAACGTTTACTACACGTGGGGTTACCACTCAAAGGCGTTCAAAGAAAGCAGATCAACATTTATTTAAAATGATTTTTGCTCAATCGGTTTGTTTCGGCTCATTTACTTTACCACTTGCAATTGATAAACTTTACGGAACATTAACAAAGGATATTCAAAAATCTGCATTGCAAACAACAATTGAAGATTTTATCTATCAAATTGTTTTGATTTCTACTTATTTTCCAATGGGAATGCCATTTTACATTAATACTCTTAGTGGTGGAAGCGTTTTTAGAAAAGCTACGTTTAATTTGAAGAAACGAATTATTCGAAAACTCATGTGTAAATAACTTTAATCGTGAAGTACATGAAAACAATCTACATATTTTTGTTTAACGAAAAATAAATTATATTCAAAATGAAAAGAGATTTGTTCTTAAACGAAATCTATCGACTGTAAGATTTTCTAGTAGATTGTTTAGTCCTCTCTTTCATGTTTATGTGAGACACGGATAATTAAAGAATACACTCAGGAAAATGTGAAAGTTAGATGTGAATACATTCAAGTCAGAGAATAGACCACTGTATCATCTAGATTCATTTGAAATCCTGATTATTATCTGTACTGATTACCAATTGAAAGAAACCATCAGATTCTTCAGCCAGTCACGTTGACTCTGATTTGAATGCCTTTTTATGTATAAATAATTTGAATTTGAGTACCATTCTTGGAATTAGAAGAACGACAGTTATTAGAATCTACCGCTTTGAAATATTAACAAGAGAACTAGATGATAGGTTTATTGTTGAATCAACAAAACAATTTAACTCTTATCGCACTGTTCATGGTTTGTACAACTGAATAATCTATTGAATCGAATGCTACAATTTTTATTACTAGCCTAATAAGGTAAAAATGTGTGTCAACATCTGACTTTGTTTCTACGTTGAGCTTATTCAAAATACTTTCTATTTTTAATTTCCGGCTGTGAGAGTATCACTGGCAGTTCTATAGGTTTTCTCATCATTAACATTGACTATTCTTCAAGAATTCATGTCAAAACTCTATAATTTGATTTTCAAGGTATACGCATGTCAATAAGTCTAAAATTCAAGGTAAAATTGGCATAGCTCAGCATTCAACATCAGTTGATACAATTTATTTTAGAGTTCAGATTAACTCACCGAAGTTTACATTCGAACATAATATGACGTGAAACGGTATCTAGGCATCTACAATTTTTTCTTGTGGCTTATTCAACTCTGTTGTACTGATTTCTAGCGTTATTCGACTGCCGTCGACAGACGAAGCCTAGAATTTCTCATTGCCATTTACTACAGATTATCTTTGCAAGCATCTATTCCCGAGCATGTTATATCATAATGAGAATGCGACAAGATTATCAAATAATGTTAACAAATACTTTGGTACATCAATATGAAATGATTCATAAAAGAAACATCCACAATATTTATTCTCACAAAAGTTCTTGACAACAATTTTTTCATTTTGTTGCATTCTTCATTTGTTTTTAATTAGTCAAGTATCGATTGATATTCTTCTTCTGTTTCTTTTTGCAAGTCGAAAGAAAGAAAAAATAAGATCCGACATTAACAGACAGTTTCATCTTACGAGTCGAATTGCTAAGCAAACAAATACTTCCACCCCTAAGAACATCGCATTTCTTTCTTTTTCTTTCGATTTCAACCGTTAATAATTTAGGAGCATACAAGAATAATGGCATTGCTTTTCAAGTGCGTGCCAGAGAAGGACATTTTATTTTTCACAATAGATCTTTCCAATTTTTTAAAATAATCAACTTCAAATTAAGAATAAAATTCTCTTCAGAAAAACAGAATCTCTACTTCGACTTAGTTTGTTCTTCGAAAGAATATTTCAATCGATATGGCAGCATCAAATTTGACGCCAGGACAACATATCATGTTTTCCTACGGTTGGGATATTCAACAGGATGTTCTCGAGATTTATCATCGTCTTCAAGGACATAATATTCCGGTTTGGATGGATATACAAGGTGGTATGAAAGATTATCTGTCGGTCAGGTAAACAGTTCTCTTTTTACAGAATCTCATTGCAGTTAACACAGAAAACCAATGACACCGACTTGTCTCTTTCATTTCACATTGCAGCATGTCTGAAGCCATCGAAAATTCTGCTGCTAAATGCTGTTTTATTACATCGAAATATCAAAGTTCGCCATATTGTAAAAAAGAATTACTCTATGCTCAAGATTGTCAAAAGCAGTTAATCCCATGTTTCATGGATGCAGATCCTACATGGAAACCAACCGAATGGCTCGGCTATGCCATAATTGACATTTTGTATATTGATTTTCGAGATCTACTAACGAATAAAACGCCGGAAAATTTCGCAGCAAAATGTGAACTGTTAACCAACCGCATCAAAAGAACCGTCAATCCAAGTGCATTAGGTCTGTTTTCTTTCATGAATCAGCGAATGAATGGCGATTCGAAGAAGTTCCTTCTTTGTAGGTGCAGTCAAACATCCACCACTGTCGTTACCAGAAACGCAACCATCACCATTCAAAGAACAAAATCCTGAAGGATTTCAAATGTCTTCAACGTCAACTTCTTCGTCATCAATTCCCTCACCGAGATATTCCCCAGTGCCGCATACATTATGCAATGAAAATGATACAATACCAACTAATGACAGCGAAGAAAATGTTAGCTCTTCTTTCGATAGATATTTTCCACATCCTTCGCATTTTTCGTAACAATACTGTAGATACGTGTTTTTTTTCAAGTATGTTATAAACAAAATTTCTTAAACTAATTTGATTTATTGATAAAACATACGAACAGGTTAGATCTCAAATAACATCAGAATTGAATGAAAGATGAATACGATTCTATAAAATTCATAATTGATACAGTCATCAGAAATTTCCCGAAAGAAACTCAGATACTTTTATCAGCTTTGTATGAATTTTTCAGAGGAATTACTCCAATGATCATAAAATTTCAGAATTTGGTAGACTTCAGTTTATTGTTGTTTCGAGTCTATTTCGTAAATTTTTTGTGTTATGGGTTGAATGAAGTCGAACTTGATGATTACCAAAATGCGAAACAGTATCCATAGACCACTAAGTTACTCACATCTTGGTTGTCAGGCGTAAAAATTTGTCGATTCCATCATCAAGTTCGTTAAAATCTTATGGAAGATCTTGATATCTCATAAAAAGTACGGCAATTTCTTATATCATCTCGTTTGATCTCACAAGATTATTTCAGATCAGATGATGACGAGTGCCTTAAATGTTGAGATGATCTTATGATGTTCTTATTAATAAAAGAAGAGGCACATCATTTATGTATAAATCAATGGGACGCACTATATTTAGTGACTTAAACTCAGACAGATGATAAAAGTGGCTATGCACACTTTGGCGCAGTGACGCATGTAACAAATACTATCAAACTGCAGAACGGAGACACTAAGAAGCTGATCAGTATTTAGTCAGCGCTCTGAATTATATCGGCAAATGCTAATAACAAATTTATCATGGCTTCATCATCTTCGATATCTTTAAGTCATTCTCTCAGTAACTATATTACAAGCAAGCAATCTAATGAAAAGCGATTACTATGCAATTATTTCATTAGAACCTCTTTCAATTGAAGCAGAAGTAAAAGTTGAGAGCAACAAACAGTAGTTATATCAGAAGACACAAATTTAGGATTGTTCTAACTCTATTTTGATGAAAAACTTTTATTCCCCGTAGGAAAGAAATTTAAAATGGTTTATACTCAATTATGAGAATGGTTACATAAAGCAACTATTTCAATGCAAAATGAAAAAGATGAATTCGGTGGTACGTTGGAAGTTGTACTTCATTTCGTTCCTGAAGTAATCATGATGTATATGGATGAGAAATCCAATGCTGCCCAAGTTGATCTCAAGAAAAACCTAACACATAAAATAGTCTTGCAAATTACTGTAGCTAACAATGAAAAAATCAAGGATATGCTGGTATTGGCGTTTGAAATTTAGAATAAAATCGACAGGAAAAACAATTATTTGAGTTTAGCAATGAAAAGGCATTGTTTGATTTCAGATTTGAATACTAAATAGTACTATAGCGCCGTTTAGCTCACGAATGAGTGAAAAAGCTTTGGCTCTTTCTAGATAAGCGCTGCATTTTTCGATACAAATATTTTATCTGGAATAATATGCTAGTCGGATATATTTTTAAAAGCACACTTCAATAAAAGAGCAAGAAAATTATTTGTTTTGCCGGTTTTATGATCAATGTTTGTCTTTTGAATCTATTTGTAGATGATTCAAACTTTTTATTGACTATGGAGTCAAATATTTCCATATTTCTCTCGTCTACGCGCATCACATGAGCGTTGAATCAATTCGATGACAATTCTATTCAAAAATAGAAAGTTATTTGAGACATTATAAGTCAACAGTTCTATCATCTGTGCTGATATAACAAAGTAACGTTATCAACAAAGATTCTATTCAAATGAATATTCGATTGAATATCACAGATTCCTCATAAAGTATCACACTGGATGGTAATATGAACTCCGAAGAGCTCTTATTAATATTCTTTTCAACTACTTTGTTGACATGACAGTAATAAGGTTCTCAAGACGAAACAAAGGGATCACATTCTATACGAACATATGGTACAATAGATATGTTCATTAATAGAATTCGTCATAAAGCTGACTTTAGAGCTTGCACCTATCAGAAACAATTTATGCAAAAAAGAATACATGTAAGTACAAGGATAGCTACGTTCATCAACATTCTTCACTTGAATGCTCAAATATCACGATCTATACCTATTCACAAATAACATCGATTAGGAATAAATCAGAGTAGGATTTCATTCAAAAATATCGATTAGTGAAAAGTCAAAGTATCTCAAATGGCATGTCTAAATCCTGTGACATGATAAATAATTTTTCTTGACCAAAAGTATATTCAATAATGAACTCAATCTCCTTCGCACATTTGTGAAGTGTTGATTCTGTAAATAAATCATACAGAAACGGAATGTTGCTTAGGATTAAATATTAGTTCAATTATTCAATCGACGTCGATTATGATTTTGATTCTTCGAAAATTCATTGCTGTCGTCATGAAAAAATGAATGGAACTTACCAATGCTTCGTTTAGAAAATGCATCTACTCCAAGTTACTTACTAACTATGATCATGCTTTGAAAAGATATCATTAATATGAAACGATTGTTACCAGTGCCATAACTGTAGTCCATGGTGATGTTAGACTAAGACTCGCACGTGTGTAGTTACGTTTACTTTATCGATACCATGACTCACGAATGCCTTTGACCAATGTCTAGTTCAACTATTCTTTACGTTCTAAACAAAAACGAAATGTTTGAATACCTAATGAACTTCTTTACGGCGCATGAATACATCTCATAGCGATACTGATGTTCAACTACGTTTGTCTGAGTAAAATTACAATGTTGAATATAGAACTACCCATCGGTGATGTCATCATAAACGAACTGTTTGCACGAAAATGTTGATATTCAAGTATATCGAAAAACACCAACATCAATACGGTGATTTTATGTAGAGAACAGTACAGAACATGATAAATGGCCTGTTCTCATAAGAGAAACGTTCAAAAACAAGCGTTGAATCGATTCAAGATAATATGAGATCTGATCTTCTATAACTTGACACCGATTGATGAACTCATCGAAACAATATTATGTTCAATTATATTTATATTCTCATATCAATGACTGAAGTTTCGAAATCTTCTTACAAACTTCTCTCAATGATGAATTACTCATAGAATCATTCCATTCAATTTAACCGTTGGTTTCAATAGCTTCGCTTTTACCAACGGATACGAACTGTGCCCAAAAAATAACTAAATTACTTTGAGTAAGGTTGCATTTCATAATATGGCGACGCAAACGTACCTTGTTAAGTCATTCGGCAATCTATTTCGATCGTATCATCGACAAATAATGCTTACCAAAATGTTGTCGAAGTATTTTGTTTCTTTTGAATCGTATATGTAATTCCTAAGAAAATAATAACGTTGACATCGTAAGCGATTGAATTTTAGGAAAGTCATATTCAACTTTATGATTAATACAATTTCCTTACTGCATTTGTCTGGAACAGTAGGAGCTGATGTTTGAACGGAATTGCGTCGAGGAAAACTCCATTCACTATTGTTGCCTGTTTCGATATAATTGCCACCATGTTTTAATAAGGATAGTCGAAAATATCGAAGTAGAATTATTTTCATAATTGTTTTATTCATAAAACTTGATCGCTCGTAGTTTATCGTACGCTTCAATATTTTCACTGACATTGAACGTGACACATACTTAATGAACGATTACCAGAAAGGATTTATTCAAGATGATGTCTCCAATCGATTCCATATCTGATAGATTTATAATATGATGAAAAGAAGATTTTATTTGAATCAGACTCAGGCTCTCGCGTGCCAAAGTTATGTTCGACAATGTGATCCATCTTCGTTGCGCAGATCTCATTCTTTTGACCTAATCGAGAACAGCTAGAATACGATCAATGCCTACCAGATGGGTAATCTATGATTTAGTCGTCATCATACTACTTTTATCGTTTTTCAAACAGTATAAGTGATCATGTAGACTAGGAATTTTTCTTACCATAAAAACTGCATTCAATTATTTCACTTAGCGAAAATAAAGCGTTGAGTGCCAGGGCGAAGATCGACAATAGAATAGTCAACAAATCGATCAGAGCAAGATGCTATTCAATAATCCGCGTTCGCATAATTTATTAGTGCTCTTTGTAATATAGAATCGATGATTAACATCAGCATAGAAATGATTTCAGCAGCAGAATTTTTTTCAGCAATTATGCTCACGTGAAAACCATAGCATCATACGTCGACATGAGAAACAAGAAAATGATAGAATATGAATTTATTCTATAAGATTGATGTTTAACAATTTTATCCGCGCGGCATGAGATAGATTTTTATTTGACGCTAGATTGCAATGCTCCGAATAGATGAATAATGCCAAGAAGTTATCTATTCAATTTGAAGATTTGCTCTGATACTGATAGTTGTTATTGGCAACTTGATCAATTATTAAATGGCTCATGAACAGTTATGATTACGAATGCATTCCGAAATAGTAGCGTTGCACTGTAGACCAAAATTTCATTGGGGTTGCATCGAGTGTGGCGCTAATTAAGGAATCAATTGAAGAATAAATATATTTAACAATACTTCGGAGTTTGATCATAGATTATTAGATTCTAATGTTAACTGTAGATGACATCATAACAAAGTAACACTCACGATAGTTCCATTCGCAATTCATGTTGAATTCAAACAAACACTGTACAGCTTCTATTTGTTTTGCAATTACTATATAATAATAGAAAAAACACTACGATGTCGGCATTCATTTATGTACTCTCGATAATTTAATAGAATTACTGTTGAAACAAAATATGAAAATATACCACAGGCGAATAAACTACACAATAATGGTGTTCAATTATATCGAATGTTTCATTTGGATGTTACATCATGTTTCGTTGTAGTCGGAGTCTACACCACTAACAGCTTCTTCCAATCGCGGCCCAACCGTTCGATTATATTGTGATGTTCACTTCAGATGCGTTCGTGAATGAATCGAAAACAGATATTACATATCAATGAAATATTTTGGCAACATTCGAATTCATTTATAATATTTTATTACATTTTTGCTTGTCGTTGCCGTTGACACAAAATATCACATGATAGAAAAATAACTTTCATTACTGTAATGTACAAGAATGACAAGGAACAAGTAGAAATACGGAGTCGTAAAATAACTTAACGGAAAAATCATGTTACTCGAACCACATCTACTAAACTTTGATTTCATTATGAGATCAGCTTTCCAGATTTCGAACAGCGACTGAGAGCATATTGAAGAATATATTATATTTGAATGATTGTCACATTTTGTTTTAAACGAGGATGTCGATTGAGTATGATCATCGAATCCTTGATGTGCTTCTAAAAAGCAAAGAATGAGTCTTGCCAGTGAACTACTAGGAAAACACTAATATCAATATATCTAAATAATACACACTCGTATCACTTTTGACTTGTAAATTCTTCCGCTTCTTGCTATCAGTAGTTTTAGATTCAATATAGATCAGATGAGCCCAATCGACACAATCACTTTGCTCTATATGTAGCCCTAAAGCTGAGTGTTGTTGCAATTCTTCGAGCTCTTGTTGAATTTGATGAGCACGATTTTTCAGACGAACGAGATCATCTTCGACAAAATCATCCTCTTCTTTACGTTTCTGAAGTTCGTCTACCAGTTCTTGAAATTTCTTCTTGGTTTCCTCACGTTGATTGTTGAGAACCTGCGTGACCTGCTGACGAATATTATCTGCCGTTCGATGAACTTTCTGAATGATTTCATTTTGCCATTGATCGATCTGATTGAGAAGTACAGTTTTTAGGCTAATTGAATGATCATTTTCATTGAATTGTTTTATTAGACGATTTGGAGTGTCGGTAATCTGTTCAAGACTAGTTTGTAATTCTTTTCGATGCGCAATAAAATGTTTCGTACAAAAGTAGTCTTTGCATCCTGCGCAGTTGCATGTTCCCACATTTGTAGAGCATTTAGAACAATGATTTCCAGTACTCATCTCTACAAGTAAAATTCTATCAAATATCGACGATAGTTTTCATGGACGCCAAATAGGGAGGAATTGTTTTTCAAACATATTCTGTCACTCACCAGCGTTAAGCAAAAGAGAAAGAAGTGTAAATATGCTTTTTGTGTGTGTTTGTCAAGTAAATGTGAAAAATAAAAGCAGAACTCTTTTCATCTAGTATAAACGCGCTTAAATCAAAGTGTTTATGTGGATGAATATGAAGGCGCGTAAAAACAAAACATCGGCTGTTTTGTCAATACAATGCAACTTTGCACATGGTAATCTTGAGTAGAATTCTATAATTCGTTTTTCGAACTGGTCATATTACAAATTCAATATTAATACTTTCAAAGAAAATAAAACATAATTAGAATCAAGCCATTAGGCGAGTTGTATGTTCGATGAATTTCTTTTAATTGTATCAAAAACAAAATTCAATCAACGGCAAGGTTAAATAGATCGTGTTAGATTTTTCTAAGATCTAGCAATAGCGCTAGTTCATTGTTTATATTTCGTAAACGTTGTCTTTTCTCAACTGCATTCAATTTTACGCTGATTGTTAATATCTTATTCGCGCTCAAGCTCAATTTAGTTTCACGTCAGATCAAAATAGGTTCTAAGTTGAATGAGGAAATAAAATGTTACTATTGTAATTTTAGACACTTTCGCATTATTAGATTTTTCAATACTCATCGCATGATCGCGCATTTATCTATCAAACTCGAGAACTAAAATAGATTAAAATCATACGGCTATAATTTACTCGGCGAACACTTTTAATTGAATTTTTCTTGACGAATAAAATGGGCGAAAAAATTGAAGAATTCTTATTGACAACATTCTGTGTGAGAGATTGACTATGGATGACCAAGAAAATCGAACAGCGTCAAGTCAGATGCTGCCAACAAAGAGACAAGAATAAAGCTTTCGCAGCTTGTGACTATGGCGAAGATACTGCTGTCAATGAATTGTAATTATTTTATATTCTACCTACCTATCGAGAAATAATAGATTCCATATGATTGGCATCGAGAGCTATCAAGTGACTTGCAAGTCTGAAGAAGTAAAACATGACAATCAGTGTGAGTGATAATAGTAAAAGAGTGGTGAAAACAAATTCCACGTTTCTTTGAGTTTGTCTTTTCATTGATCATAGATATCAACAAGTTCAATATTGTTTTTGCGAATAGACTTCTTCTGATTTTAAACTTTTCCGTTGTTTCTATCGAATCAATTCCGTTGAATGAAAAAAGCAAGAAATTTCATTTCTGTGCAATATGCGCACATACATCAGGCAGATTCACATATACGTAGATGCATGGCATGTATGATGAGTTTAATGAGAATTTTAGGTCGCGTATCGTGAACATCAAGATAATATCTGATCGAGCTTCCAGAGCAAACGGATTTTAAGTTTTCTTTTTCGTAGGGGTATCTATCAGACACTAGAAAACTAGTTGTTTTATTTTCCTCTACATCTGGAGACGATGGTATTGATTCTCTATCTGAATAAATTGTAATTGTATTCAAGATGTGTTCATTTGAATGAAGATTAAATGAAAGTTAATGTAATTATGATAGATCACTGATAGTGTTTTCATTCAAATGATAACCATGAGTAAACTTAATTTGTTTTGTGATAAATCTCAACGAGAATTATTTCGTAAGAATATGATATCTTCATCACATGAGGCAATTATTCGATTCTCTTGCAAGACACTGGCATAATTGGTGGGTACGGCGGAATTTCAACAACATTCACAACATATGAAATTGTACTCAATGAGTGAGATCTCAATCAATAAGATACTAAATTCATTACCTATTTTTATAAAATTGCTCCCTTCACTAACGCTCGTTTTTTTCGCTTCTGCTTTATTGTTTCTCGTGTTTTAAAACATGTCGTATAATTGTTCGATAATCTCAATTTTCTTAACACACGTAGAACATCATCACCCTGCTTTTCGACATTTGCTATTTGCTGTCTTTATTTCACCTGTATCTACTCTTAATATATATATATATATAATGTTTAGTGTATGTTTAAGTGTGGGTTAAAGCTCTTTAGGCCCGGAACTTTTGAACTCCGGTTAAATGAACATAAATGTTCGATGCTGGTCTTGTCGTACCGCAATTTCATATTGTTAATATTGAATTCTATAGCTACTTCAAGGATAAGGGAGGCTGCGTCTCCGATTTTGTCCTACAGGACGAGTGCATGCACATATTTGCAAGAGCATCTTCACTATTAGAACCCGTCGAATTCAAGATTGTTGAACTCGAAATCGGGATTTCATTTTAACATTAAAATTTAAAATTTAAATAGTTAAAGTTGAAACAGATTTTTCATATAAAATTTGTTTATTTCAAAAAAAGAATTTCTTCTTTCAAAAAAATTTTTTGAACTCTGAGCCGGAGTCACGTTCTACGTGGTGAACTCTAGTCAGAATATATTCGCGTCTTTTACAGTTGCCATTCACGCCCTTGAGCATCTTTGTATGACTCACAGAACAAAATGAGAAGTCAATAGAAAGGGAAAAACTAATCAGAGAATTAAGCCATTTAGAAGTCACCCACTATCATAACAATTGTTTATCTAATTCTTATGAAAAGAAACAATGTTCTACAAATTTATATCAACTTTGTGTCAAATAAGAGGTGAAACTTTCTTTGATCATTTTCTACCTTATGGTAATTTTTAAAAATAGATGTTAGTTCAATCAAAAGTGTTTCTGTAATGTTCACCCTATATTCTTCCCCTTTTTAAAAATTACTTCAGGCTCGATCAACATCACTTCTTTAAGAAATGGTCCGAGTTCAGTTCGCATCAATTTCGGTCTCTGGCTAGTAGAATCGTCGGATAGAACCCAATATTGAAGCCACTCGAGTCCAGGTTCGGTTCCGGATCCAGTTCTGGATTCAAAATAATCATGGCTTTAGTGGATTCTAGTGGTAAAGGTGGTCTTGAAAATATGTGAGTGTGTTCATCATCCAGGAGGAAATTGGAGAAGAAGGCTCCCTTATCCTCGAATAGGCTATCAAATTCAGATTATAATACTTGAGTACCATTGTAAAACTGTGGCTCGGCAGGATCCGAATCCAAACATTTTCCCCGGTTCGGAGTCTAGAATGCTTTTATTCCGATCTGGGCCTGAGTCAAAAGCTTTTTAACTCAACGCGTCCTACTGATTGCTAAGAGCATTGCCGTATTTCCGCTGGGAAATGGACAATAAAAAATGCATTAACAATTATTATTGTCGCAATTCCGTGAGGATTTCGACAATTTCGGAAATTCGCCAACATTGTCGAAATTCCATAGAACCAATTGGTTGGTATGGACTGAAGTTTAATCATTAGAAGGATCTAGAGAATGACATCGATTATTCGAATAGGTGGGATCGTGTATTTCATACATAATCGTAAATAACGGAAATATTTATCTTGTAGTTTTGTTGTTGTTGTTGATACAAATATCTCCGACTGTAAACTAACGTCTAATGTTGAGTAGGATGTATTAATGTTTTGAATAGTGAGTAGCTATTCATCGATATCTCAAGATAGAAAAGGAGAAACATGGGGAAAGATCAACAAATACGAAGTCCTATTTATTTTGTGATTTTGTAAGACATTAGCCAGCTGTTCGGCTATAGTTACCGATGAATCAAAGGAAAATGATGAGTAAATACAAATCACCATATTGTTTCGTAACATATCAGCAATGTATTTCGTTCAAAGGAGAAAAAACTCATTCCGAGTCATTCGTGTCAGGGAATGTTCGAATGAGCTTTCTCTTGATATTGTCACTTATTTCAACTAAATCTTATTCGAAAACATTCTCCATCTGACTCTTAACAAAACGAATCCAATACAATAAAATGCAACAACTTCATGCCAGTATAGAAGATTGATGTCCTGTTTCGATGGATTTTCATGACGAAATCTTATTGTATACAAGAGGAGTTGTCTAACCAAAGAAAACACTTTTTTTATTTAAGAAAAAATTGCACACGGCAAGAAGATTTCATTTTGAAAATTCTTAAATATACAAATAAAATAGATCTTTTGGATCTTCACCAAGTTGAAACATAAATCACACATTAATGATCCAGTAGAGTTCTAGTCTCATTTTTGTAGAGAATCAAATGTTGAATATTTTGAAAAACGTTTCAGTTCAAATAAATGGAACGCTTAGTTTCTTTTCTTTTTTATATTACTTTCTCGACGCACACATCCTATTTCGTCATCTTGCCACCGAATGATCTGAAAAACGGAAAACCCTAACTTATTCATTCAACCGCAATGCGAGTCTCAAGGTCGAGCTATTCATAGCAGTTTTCAAGTTTCGAGATAATTAATCGGTCAATCGATATCGTTCTCTATGCGTATGTTGATAAACTTGGATAGAATTTTCTCAGTGACGAATTTTGCTATAACTACATCAGGAGTTTTCGATGTTATCATAGCTTCGCATCGCATATTGTCGATAAATTTTCGATTTAATGATGCCTGAAAAGCATACGTTGATCTTTTCCGCCTATTGATATATTTTGTAAAGATCGCTAAAGGAAAAAACAATAAATGATTACTATTTGTTCTCAATGTCAAAAACAAAATGCATTGTATAGAGCAAAATTTATTGAAAGAAAACCGAAAGCTAAAAATTCATTTAATATTGTTCTATTGAATCTGTTTTTAAATAACAGTTTGTAAGTGACACTTTATTTGTACGTGTAACATCATGTGCAATACCATCTTCATACGTCCATCCATCAGGTGTTTGATGTCGATCAGATAATGTACGAATACGACAAAAGCCGCCACCGTTACATTTCAATTCATAATCATAGGCAATAGAACCATTATCTGCATTAGCAGTTGTACGACAAATTGTTTCATTAATATCATTTTTATAAAAATTTGCCATCGATGAATTACTATCATCCATACAGTTACCAAGACCGAGCAAAATCCACTTTGATGATAGCATCTGCTGTTTAGTCTTTGCAACCGATATAAATAAATCGAATGCCGCTGAAGTTGTAGCAGTATCACGAGATAAATTACAACTAGTAGATGAATTATTATTATTCCAAAACAAGTCAAATAAACCGTCTAATTCACATCGATTCGTGGTCAGAAGTGATACTGCATTTTGTTGTAGAAATAATGTATATTTTTGTATGTGAAATCTATCTGTAAGATATGGTAGTAAATAACCTAGATGACGAGCAAATATTCCTTTGAATAAGTGCTGATCATCATCGCACTTAGGTTCGCATGGTTCTTTTAATATTCCGCTTGAATAAGTTAATAGTGCTATTGTAGAATCGGCTATATTTTGCGCAATGCTAATCAACGTTGAGTTGTTTGTAGCATTATATAATAGTGCTAAACCTGAGAGAATTACACCTTGATTATATGTCCACGTGGTTTGATTATTGTTTACACATGTATTATCATTTAAATATTTCCTTTGTTTGATATGAAGCCGCTGCGGTGAACTATAGAAGAAAAATCAAATACGGAATTCAGCGTATTTATTACACAGCTACATTAAAAAATGAATGATTCAAATAATTAACAGAGATCAGAAAGTCATTAAAGTATTCAACTATTTGCCAAAATCTCACAAACTCAAAACTACAGCGAACTAGGTTCATGTGCCAAATTGATAGCTAAAACTATTTGATTTCGATTATTGATTCTCAGGTAAGATTCCATGATGAATGCATACAATCATATCGAATGAGTAATAAATATTTACCTTAATCCGTCATTAATCAAATAATAGCTATTAATCATTCCACTTTGTTCAAGCCATTGCCATTCTTTTAATGCCCAATCAAGATAGTATGTCAATGGTTTATCGAGCAGTGCAGCATACGGATGTAAACGCATACTACTCGATAGAAATAATTCATTAGTTATGGCATTTTTGTAATCTCTTGTTGGACACCATTGAATGCCACCATTACATGTTGCTGTGGTCCATGCTTTCTTAGAAACGACATCATAGATAGCTGCAGCTCGTTTTAAATATTTTATATCCCGATCAACATTGTATATTTGCATCCAAGCAAGTAACCACCATTGATGATCGTCATAACAATCACCACCAGCATATATGTCCGTTTTGCTGTATGTATTATGAAAAACATATTTCAATGGGGAATCAGTAAGAGATACAAAATTAGCAAGTGATTCTAATGTATTGCCAGATTGCCATGCTAATTCTTTGGCCCATCGTCCAGATAACTCATGATAGTAACAATTTACTAGTCTCGAAGCTGTTACTTCAGCCCAATTGAGTGCTTCGTTTATAGAACGATTTTGACTTCTTCCCATTGCCATGGTCGATGGGAAAAGAAATAAGTTGAATAGAACAGTAAAATATACTAGCAGCAACATTGATCAATGCTCAAATGGAATTGTTTTTTCAAAAAACACAATAATAATATTTCAGTAGTCCGAATGATTTAATGTTAATCTGGAAAAATTTTCTTCAGTTGAAGATCGTGTAATATAAAATGTTACCACTTATGTGAAAAATGAAATAATTTCGTTGTTTGATGATGATTACATATTTGACAAATAGAATCATATAAGATTCTATTTTTGATTCACATGAAAAAGAAGATAAAAACGAAAATGTACTTGATAAGCTTTTTTTTTGGCTGCTATTTATTTTACGATAGAGAATTTATCAAACAAGGGAATATAATGAATATCATTTTGATTGTTAAGATATTCTACTAAATAGAAATTTGATTCCTACAGAGTGAATGCAACGATTACCAGACATTTTGAAATTTGATTTCCTCGATCTCTAGTCACTATAGAAATGTAAATACTCTCGCTAAATAAGCTTATCCTCGTGAAAATCTTGACTGTAAAATACGAAATGGTTTAAATTTCGATTTATCTTAACTGACTTGTTAAATCCTTGAAACAGATTAATCTAAATATGGAATCGATAATCTTTCATAAAAATCAGTTGATTAATTACATATTTTTCTCGATCAAACAAATTTCTATTACTTCTGAAAAAATTAAAACTAAAACTTAGCAGAATGATTACGCTGGTATATAACTTACTGTTCGACGACGAAGGGAATAGTAGTCACAACTATTGTAGGGTGTGTTCAGCGAGGTTTATCTAATTAGGCAACACTCTCTCTCATGATGCCAGATTGCTTCTAGTTCGAACTCAAAAAGTCGATAGGTTTTTTCTCGGTAACTTCGATGATAATATAAAATGATGAAATTTTGAGAAAATCAATGAAATCGAATACAACACCTGATGAAATTAATATTGTCTTACTGACTCGAAACAGATGCAATTCAATATCAATGTTCCCCTGGTTGATGATTCATTTCCTTGGTTTGAATCTGAATCATTAGGATAGATATTTTTGTGAAATACAAGTAAGTCGCTTTGTTATTTCGAACTCTTACTGATGCGTTTTCGACCGGTAGAAAATCTATTAGGGTTTTCATGATTAACACTATTGCTATCCTGAGGTGTGCTTATTGATTTTATCTTGGTTTGGTCATTCATAACAACAGTGTAATAAATATTAGGGAACATTTTTTTAAGTCAACAAATTTGAACAATAACAGATTTCTCGAAATTCCGGTCGCTTCCAAGCAATGCAAGCAGACGTTGTACCATACTTATTCATACGACTGAGATGACGTTTTTGAATGTCAAATGTGTTTCGTTGAGGATCGTATTCGGCTGTCACTTCGAATTGTGCTCCACCAGGTTTCGTTTCTAGCTGAATCTGATAAAATCTCGTTCTATTTGACGATTTTGATGAACCCTTACGAAATTGCGGAACTCGACCATCCTTGTCGCTTGTCTGCACAAAGTTCAATAGATGTTCGTTATTATCTAACAGGTTTGCTTTATTAACTTGCAGTAAAGAGAGTGTAGTACACTCATCTTTGTGATCTGACACGAACTTGTTCAGGAAGTCGATAACAGCTTGACTAAACTGTTGAATAATTGGCTCATCGATCGATATGTTATGCCAGCTTAGGCAAGCACACCAATGTTGTTCGACATCGGCTTGTGTGCAAGTTCGATTCTCGGGTACCAGTTCAAATAAGCTGACAGAACGATTCGATTTAGATTGATAGGGATCAGGCGAATGGAATTCGAAAAGATGTTCGAACGTTTCGTGAATATCAAACGGTGTCGTCAATCGACGCGAGTTCAAACGAAGATTTTCCATGATCGCTGGATATTGATCTTGAAATTCAGGTGGCATTCGAATAGACATGAACGGTAAACGTTCCTCTAGTTTACCCTGATATGTACTTCGTAAGGATGAAAAACGAGCACCATGATCAGTCATAATAATGAGCATCGTGCGATTAAGATAACCATGTGTATTCATCATTTTAAGAAAGCCCAAGAGCTCATGATCGGCAAGAGGTAAATGATTATTGGAATCGTGAGAATAATAAGAATGAAAAAGATAAGAAAATTTCGGTTGATCAGGATACATGCCGAAGAAATCACGGATCCAATTGAACATCGCTTTTAGACGTGTGATAGAACCAAAGCATAGTGGTCTTGGCGACTTCTTCGGTTCAGCGTATAGATAGAATGGACGGCCAAAATGGTCAACTGGTGGATCCTTAAAGCCTTTCAGACGATATTGAAATGTACCGACGCCCTGCATATCTTCGGCCCATTGAGTCACATAACCATTATCTGTACAAAAGATAACAGTGAATAAAAATTTTCGAAAAAGATTGAAATGATTCGGCTTCTCTATTATAGCATAGACTTGTTATTCAGTTGAAATTAATTATTTTCTCAGTCATTGAAAAAGTATTTCAATATTTTTGTAATCGGTATGACTAAATTTAAGGAGAAAAATCTTTTTTTTTATAGAGTTTGAGCAGTCACACTACGATTGGGGATTCATTAATTTCTTGACCATCGTACAAAATACAAGACAATAATTTCGCTGGAAGAATCACTAACTCTAGTAACCCTTATCATCAGAAAATCTTCAACTTTTAATTCTATCGTTTGATCGTTTATACACATGCCAATTGTAAATCAAGATACACTATCTTGATAAAGCTAAAAAAAACAGTCGACACGTAATTTGTCTTACAATAATCTTAAGAATATTAAAAAGAGATTTATTACTCTGATAGTGAAGATATTCATTATAGTAAATCGGAGACAAGACGAATTTTTAGAACTTGATGAAAATCGAGAAAGATAATTGTCGCATGAAATTGTTCACAGTGTGACTAAATAATGAGATTATATAGAGATCTCATTGAGTTTACCTTTTAATTTATTCCAGATCCAAGGGAATTGATCAACAGTTTCAGCTCCTGCATGACCTCTTCTTGATTCCGGTAATTCTTGTTCAGTTTGTCCGGTCAGAATGGGAAGAAGTGCTGCTGGTGTACCATCGCCAACAATATTGTATCCTAGGAACCGTTATGTTCAGTAAATTAATATTTCGTGAGAAAAATTCGTAGAGAACTGACCTTTCATAACAACAGCGCCGAGTTCTTTGATGAGAAACGAGTAGGTTTTCGGTAAGAAACGCATGAAAGTCATACGGGATACTGAATCGAAACCAAACATTAGAATATTATATCCGAGATGATTCTTCACCATCGGTTTTTGTATACTTCTATAATAGTAAATAGTTCATTTTAAGAAATCGAGCCATATATGCATGTATATATTCACCGTGTGTGTAATATCGGATCAAATCTGATTCCCATATGTACATTCGAATAGGTACTACCGCGTTTTCCTTCACAGTCAGCACGAAAGAAATCAGATACGAGAGGCATCCTGTCAGCGACAGGAGATACTCGAGTACCTTCAGCTGCTGAGAAATCGTCTTTCGCTCGCAGAATAGGATGATAGGCACACGTAATTGGTCCATATGTTTGTAGTGCTGTTTCTGATATCCGAAAGGTGCCTAGATAATTATTCGAATGAGATTCAATGTTCTGTAATTAATCATCAATCAGGTTACTTTTGTAAAACAACAGCCGAAGCATATGTTCGGGGGAAAAAAATGTTTTTCTTTTTACTTACCGTTGTCAACATACACCCAATTTTGAACTTTATCACAGGCAGGCTTTTTTTCTTTTACTGGTTTGAGATGTTTCCAAATTTCTGGATTGTCGATTGTTAATTTAGGATAGCGACAAGTCAAATGAGTCAGATTGAAATAGTCGCTGCGTAACAGTTGAATATTTGGAGCGATTGTAATCTTCGCATCGTTGAGATCATCTTCGTCAACGACGAATACAGATTTCGATTCATCGGGCAAATCATCTGTAGCCAATTCGTCCAATGAGTCAACTGGGGTCTTGGAGAATGTCAACAACAGAATGACAATCAAAAAACCGGCACAAAGCATCAGCGCAGTAATATATCCACATTCTTTGCAACATCCTCGACATCGACGACGTATTTTCATACTTGATCAGTGTTGAAATTTTATACCGCTATAAAGTAGATTCAGTCGATTTGTTATCAAAGTTTGAATACGTGTGTCGGTAGATAAATATTCCACACCTACAAGTATGCTATTGTGAGAATCATATACAATGGTCTAGATAAGATCTTGAGAAAGTTACACGTGTAAAAAACAAGACGGTGAGGTTTTTTAACTCAATGATGGTTTGACAATGTTTTGAATAAAATTATTTGTTTTCTTCTAGCAAAACACTCGTACTTAAGTACTTTGTACTGTTTCAATTATGCTAGTGTAACTCATCTGGGAGAAATCGTATATAATCCAATGCAATTTGACGCTCGTCCTAATCATGTTTTTTATTCGCTTGATGAAGAAATGGCACAGGTTCATTACATGACAATTGATTTATCTACGGATCAGGAAGAAAAGAGGGTGCAACTGTTACTCTTGTTCATTCTACATCTAAACAATTATTTAACAGAAATGTAATCAAGGGGAAAAAGCGACTCCTGGTGGCCTCTAATGGATTCTAGAATCCGCTAGGATCCATTTTGATTAATGAGTTGATCTCAATATTTTAAAGAATTTGCAGTTGCTAAGGAAAACAGCGAGATTCATATACGTAGGATCTATGATTTTCATCGTGCTTTGAAGACATTACGAAAGTGATGATTCATTTTTTCAAAGGACTAAATGGTCTATATATCGTTTCTTGTACCTAAATGCTTAGAAAAAAACTTCTAGATTTTATTGTACACAAAAAGAGCAGAACCGAAGGATTTCTTTGTCACATTATTCTATGACTGGGCATGTGTTACAATAGTCCTGAAAAAATTGTTTAGCCTTTTTGTAATATATACGATACTGTTGAAACGAAGAATACTATTTTGTTGCTACCCATGACTTTTTCTGTGTATTAATTAATTCTTCATGTTAAATTGTAAAGTTCTAACAAGTAAGGTGCCGCTAAAGCAGAATTGGAGTAAATTTTGTTTCTCGCTTATTTCTATATGGTTTGATAGAGCTTGAAAAGTTGATCAAGAATATATACTTTTTATTTCGATTTAGTTACTACCTGGCTGAGAAAATCTTAAGAAATGAGAACACCTGAGAAAAAACATATTTTTATGTTAAATTTTGTTTTTCTTACAAAAATTGCCAAATTTTTATTTCAACTCTTTTCTGAGTATTGCCAAAGTACTATATTCTGAATCAGCATGAAAAACTGAATAGGAAAATGTTATATGATTAGACTTAGATATAATAAAGAAAACAATTTCTTATCTCATATAAATANAAATCGAAATAAAAAGTACATATTCTTGATCAGCTTTTCAAGCTCTATCAAACCATATATAAATAAACGAGAAACAAAATTTACTCCAATTCTGCTTTAGCGGCACCTTACATCAGTATGACATGGTTTGCAACGATCGGTTCAAACATATGAACTGACAGCTATGTACAAGTTTTCTTTTAAATATAGTAGTGAATGTTATAGCAAAAGTGAAAAATACATGAACCATTGCTATTTACTACGTAGTTAATAAGTCCATCACTCTATCCCATATTTTTATGAAAAAAATTCAAGTTTTATGCGTTTCATGGGATTTACAAGTTACTTTTTAAAACTTTTCCCTTGACAGCAAATAGAATTGCTGGATAACCTTGTACAGAATGTTAATGATTACGAGACTTTATGTTGCGTAGACGAGTATCAATCCAAAAAGCTACAATAGAAAACCTTAAAAAGGAACTTAGTCTAACGGGATAAGTCATTATGACAGCAAGCGACAGCGATAAGGAGCTGATGCTGATCTTCACATATCTTCACACATCCACCAAGACCCATAAGAATTCACTGGAATCCACCAGAATCCATGAGGAGCCATCAGAATCCAAGGATCCAGCAGTCGTTTTCTTCCCCCTCCCCCTTGGATATGATACTAACCCGTCGTCATCAAAACAATCGCATTTTTTTCTGTGCCGGTAAACGTGCATTTATAATACTCGACTTTTATATTGTATTTTCTCTAAGATTAGGATCCGATTTCATAGACCTATATTGCTTGATATATAATCGTAATAGATTCTTAGTTGTCTCAGTACTGTTAGCATCATTTTACACATGATTTTTGATGTATAGAAAAGTGTGTCAAATTTTGATTTCGAAAGAGTTTCAATTTAATACGCATGTCACAGATCAAATGTAATCAGTGATTTGTTAGAAGATACTAGCAAGGTAAAAGTAAATGAGCATTCATCAGAACTATAATTCAAGTTATCTCGAACTATGAAATATGATTGTTTCTTCTAGGAAATATATCAAATTTTTAATTAAAGATAAAAATTATTTTACCTTTCATAAGTTCATCTAACTAATGAAGATTGCTTGTGAAGCTTCGGATCGTTTTGAATTTCTCTGTATTTGTCTAACCATTGAATAGACATAGGAAAATAAAGCATTTGCTTGTGAACTCTTTAATGTCACGCAAAATCAATTTTATTTAACTGATTCTATTACGATAAACGTGTTTTATTAACAAAAAAGCCTTAAAGAAAGTTCTTTTACAGAATTTTACTTCGTTCCTTTTTTATGTTAACCAGAAAACAAATATCAGATACTTAATCATTGCGAGCCATTTCTATTCTGGTAATTTCATTCCGTAGAACTAAAGTCATGTTAGCAAGTTTACTCAAAAAATTTCAAAATCGATTCGAAGCTTATGAAATTTCATATGTATTTGATAGGCTATTATGAGAATTTAATAATAGCTTTATGCTTATCTGTTGGCGTGAATATAAAACCTTCAAGAAGAATTATCCTATTTTACTCTGAACATTGAGTAAGTAAATCAATCCATTAACTAAATAAGTATAGAACAAAGAAATGCACAGATAAAAGTGAAATGATTACGTACCAAAAATAAATTAGTTACTAATATCAAGGAAACAGAAAACTAGCAGTATCGTAGAAATAGAAGGTGATTGATGGAATAGTCGATCCAAATGAATTTAAAAAGTTAATGGAAAAAATTCATACATGTCAGAACATATATAAATTAACACCGCCATCAAGCTAATGTTTTTTTTTTTATAACAGCTTGGCATTTTTTTATCAGAATCTAAATGCCACAATATCAACATCGATCTACTCAGTCATTCTAACATAATCGCGTTTTATTACTAGTTAAAACATACACTCAAACTGATAGCAGGCAAAAAGAAACTCATAGAAACGTATTTATTTTATTTCATTTCTTTCATCATTAATGTCATATTTACTTTCATTTATCTGATAAGAGAACGTCATCTTTAACATACTCTAAAATTCTCTCACGTTTTGCGTTGGGAAGCTATTGAGTGAGCCGTTTTATAAGTTAAAGATATCGAGTATAATGCACAATATGTCAAAGTAAATGTAGAATTGAACCGTAGAAACAATTCGATGAACTATTTTCAGTCTTGAAACATAGTCTATTTATTTGGCATGTTGAACTAAAGTCAGCGCATGTAGAGAGCACTGATAAGAATTCTCTGTCTTTCATTATAAAAATGTTTTAATGCTAAAAAAAAGACGACAAATAGACGGTTAAATTCCAATGAGTGCTATTCATTCTGTGTGGTTTGCTCATTTACAAAATGATTTATATATATAGTTATTTTTTTGTCGTGCCAATATTGCAGTATTTTTCTTCAAACAATATTAATCTTTAATATGCTCGGTCATGCTTCGTCTTTCTGTCTATTTTAGTGATTCAGTCGTGACAACGTTAAATGTTGATTCATACTAAATTCAAAATGCAATAATTCTTCGACTAGTGGTTGACTGAATGACCGCATATCGTGTATCGCTGGACTATTTTGATGAAATAGGACAAGTAAATCTTTCCTTTTATGTGCATCGATCGTTATTCACTAACTTTTCCCTCTAATGTAAAATGTGCATCCTGTGACTGAACCGGAAGCACAAGCACATATGTGATGATAACCGGCATCTGTCTCAACATATAGAAATTTTTAGTGAGAATGGTTATGCCACAATCAGCTATTTTCATGAAAACAACACTTTATGACTTTTTAAAAGTGAATGGACAAAGTCCGATACCTTGTTAAAAAATTCTAACATAATAGGAAACTAAACGATTTTGTTTTATTCAGAATTTTGATATTAATTATTTCGTTCATTTTCTATATTTCACTCTGTCATTAACATATTTTTTGCATCTAAACAAGTCGGAGAGTCTTCAGTTCCAAAATTACATATCAAGCTTAAGCGTACATTGTTCAAATGGAAGTTTCACACTAAATCATAAAAAAATCACTGTCGAATTGCTCATGATATTAGATGTAACGATATATTTCCATCACTTACCGTTTCTCGTCTGAACATTCATTTCAGTCATCATAACAATCCTCGAGTAAATACAATGGATTCTTTTTCATGAATAGAATTGAACTGATACTATAAAGTTTTTGTATTAGAAAGAATCTTTGAAAAAGTAGATTTTTGTTTTTTGCTTATAAACAATTTCTTTGAAAGACTTGTATTTAGTACTCTATCTAGGCCAAATAGTCTTTTTTTATTGCAAGCCTATGGCTGAATGTTATTTTTCACAATAGATTGGCTCCTACTATGCGCTTTAATTAATATAATTTTCATGATTAACTAATATCACATTGAAGAATAACTTGAACGTTTCAAAAACCTGTTCAGTGTTTGTAGGATTAAAAGAAAGTTCTTGAGAAAAAAAATCAGGTAGAGCATCTGTTGAACTTGAAAGATATTAACTGGTTGTTTCTTCGGCATCAATCTAATACTGTGTTTTACCCGAGAGTCCTTGAATCTTAATCCATGCTTTATATAATTCATTTTCCAATGTTGTTGTAAAAGGAATTTTTATATCTGTATAATAGTAATTAACAGGTTTCTTGGATTTTAACTGTCCGATTTCATTGGCTAAATAGTTTATTATCTTTGATTTACTGTTTGAATCTAGTTTTTCGTTTAAAGCAAACTCCGTAAAAATATTTAATATTTCATATGCTTTTATTGCACTTTCATTTTTTAGAGATTCTACCAAATCGTCAATAAATTCATTCGGTGATAAATGTATTAAGAGAATTCCAATTGCATAATATTTCTTGACCTCATTCTCATCAAGTAATGCGTTCATCGCATTTATGATTACTTTATGATTTGACTCATCCATTGCTAAAAGTAATATGAAAGCATTGCCTCGTGCTGTATAACACGGATGAGTATTGAGTATTTTTTCCAAAACTGTAATCATTTGAACTTTGTTAAAATTTGGAGAATTCGTTATTTTTCGATACAAATAATCTTCTTTTTGAACACACGCAGAAACCAACGATAATAAACAATCACACATCATCATTGAAAACCATGTATCGTCAAGACTTTTATAACTTTTTAGATTTTTAAATAACCATTTGATTAAACTTTCCATAAGAGCAAGATTTAGAGAAATATTATTAATTCTATTTAATATCATTTCATTAATATCAGCCGAACCATAAAGATTACAACGACCTATCTGTTTAATACCATTGTAAGTACTCAGTGAGAGTTGTTCATCTTTAACACAGTATTCGTTGATTAGTTTCGATTCAAGCATTTCAAAATATGTTTCATCATGATAATTTGTTAACATGGAAATATTATCAATAATGAATTCGATTCTTTCAATATCAGTACGTACGAAATATAATCGTTCTTTAAATTGATTTGTATCCGTCATTGATAGTATTCTTGCAAATTGCATCCACTCTTCTGGTGTAATTTTATTATTTTGAGCTAATTTCATTACCGAGTAAAGTAGTCCTTTCAGATAGAATGGATGTACCGGTAATTCTAATGTTTTCATTATTGCATTCCAAGTATGAGCATCTATGAAATAGATTGTATTGAAAGACTTCATTCTTCTACTATAAGTAGCGTTGTTATCGTCCAATCGATTTATATTTTCATATAAATTACGAAAAACTCTAGGATCATCCCATAGTAAATCGTAGAAAAAACTATTAACATAAGCTCGAATACGTGGTAGATGTTCGTTCATACGTAAACTTTCAAGGATTTTCAATAATGTTTTCTCGCCTATGACAGATATTCTCTTGTTGGGCTCTCTCACGTCTCTGTCTGGATGTTGAAAAATTCTCTGAGCTCTATATCTCATTTGGTCATTGTCGGTTGTTAGTAAGCCAACAATTATGTCAACGGACGACTCAAAAATATGTTTAGCTTCTGAAAGTAAAATAGCTGCTAAATGTTTTATTTTATTGTTAGTATTTTGAGTAAACCATCTTTGAACAATAGGTAATACTTCATTGGATGGTTTTATAATGTATGGAAAAAGTATTGAAATCATATCTTCTTTGCCTTTTTCTATCAATTCATCAATAATTATGGCTACGTGTGGCGTTAAAAATATTTCATCGCGTAAGCCAATGTTTAATATCTTTTCGATATTTGATTGATTATCTGTATCTCGAAATAGATTAGCCCATAGTTGATCTATACTATCGGTTTTATTCATTATTAATTTTGTGTCCTTCAATTGTGCAAATAACAAGAATAAAGATTGAAGTTCGGCATAGTTTGGGATGCCTTCAACTTCTTTTTTTGCATTTTCATCTTCTAGATTTAGATTGGCATCTACACTTGAATGCGAAGATTGAACATGAAATTGTTCAGTAAATAATATTCTTCCATAGTAAGAATTAACAAAATAATAATTCATTTTATTATTGAGATTTATTATAATTTCATTGAATTTGATTTGGAGATCATCGTAAATACTTACTAAAGGTTTTAATTGAATGATTAGTTTGATTTTATCTTCGTTTTCATCCATTGTTTTAAGTGTTTCTACAGCAGTTGTTAAATACCTTTTTCGAACTTCTCCGGATCCATAAAATGATAATCTTATTGATGCAATTGTTCGATTGTAAACATCCGAAATATTGTTGCATGTTAAAAATAACTCGTCGACTATTTTCTGAATGAATAATTTTTGCTCGATTTCCTTATAATGAACAACAGTAAAGATTTTTTCTAAAACTTGAAATTTTAAACTTGGCTCCTGGATTTTTTTAGCTAATAGAAACGATTGATTCAATAATTCAAAACTTTTTTCATCATAAAACTCAGCTAATTGATATAATGCTCTTGATTTATAATAAGGGTCGCACATTAATTGAATTTTTTCGCATAGAAAATCTCTCGTATCCGATTGGCCAACTAGTTCAGGTAATAAATTCTTATAGATCTTAAATCTATCTAAGTTGTTTGACATAATTCCAAAATTTAATAATACAACTAATGGAATTAATTCAGAATTTCTATTAAAACATTCATCTTTACAGAAGATCCCAGAAACAGTATCAATCAGCTCCGCTGCATTGATATGGATATTCTCTAAACAATTGAAGAATGCTATTGGCATATCGTCGTTATTATTCGATTGAAAAATAAATTTATCTAAAGGCCATGAATATGCTCGAATTGGTCTATAAATCTGAACTGCATTGCTAATTTTTAACAATGATTTCATAATTTGATCAGGTTTACTAATAGAAATCGATTGTTCCAATAGTAGCGGGATTTGACATTCGGTACTATCAATACCACCAGTCAATGGAAAGACAAAATATTCTGCATATAAACTATATTGATCTTCGGCATTATCTATAGATTTAGCTAATGCTTTGGTGTCAACAGGTAATCCGCCGCTATCGGCTATTAGAGATAAATGTAGCGTACAATAATTTAAAAAGGATAAATGACATGTCGTCTGATTCACTTTCATAATGTTGTAAACTTCTTGTAAATATTTAGCGACATGGGAAGACCATCGTGCGATTGGATCTTTCAAAATGTCGATAAGTTGCTCGATTCGATTTTGAAAATACTTCATAAATATTTCATTTTCATTTTTGATAGTATCAGTTAAAAAATCAAAATCGCCTAGAACGACCAATACAATAAATGCTTCCGTCTTGTCATTGGCATTTAATTCATGACTGATTATTTGGTAATGCAATTCTTCTATCAAGTCGATCGGAGATTTTTCTTGTACAATTAATTCAACGATTTTGTTTGTGAGAAACGACTCTTTGTAGATGTCATTCTTATCAAAAATGGGCGTTTCAGTCCAGCGTTTTTTCGATACTACTGTATCGAGGTGCACAGCCATACGATAGGATGGGTCATCTCGGCCCCATATTTCTTGATAGTAAAAGTTAAAGGGTACCCTCTGGCAGTCACTCAACCTAAGAAATTGAGCTATTTCATAATATTCTGAAATTGTCGCTTGAGTATTATAATTTTTATATCCTCCATAAAGGGCAGTAATTAAACAAAGCCAAGTATTATTCTTTAGAATATACTCGATCATTTGTGGATTTCTATTTAATTCAATTTTGAATTTTAATTGAAGTAAAACTGATTTATCTTTGATTTCATTCGAATAAAATCGTAGAACTGAATCGATCGGCCAACTCCAAACCAGGGAATCATTGTGTAAATTCTTTAGAAATGTTTCATGAAATTTTTTATTATACCACTTAAGTCGATAAATAATATTTGCACATGCAGCAACACTTTCTTCATGATTTATCTTTTCCATGAACCATGCTGTCATTATAGTCTCGTGTTTTGTTTTCAGTTTCATGATATACGAATGAATTAATTCCTGATGTTGTTTTAATCTTGAGAAGCCAGACAAATTTCTATAATCCAACAGAAGCATATCGGCTAGTATTCGAATTAATTCGTATTCGGTATCATTCGATGAAAAATACATATCATTTAATGAATCTATTAGAACAAATGGTACTAGTAATGTTGAAGATTCTCTATTCGACGAAACTTGTTCATCGTGTAACAATTTTGTAATAATATTTTTAAATAATGCACCATGTTGAGCCGATTTACTGAGTATTCCAAATGTCATACTGAGTGGAACCCTCCAATTAGGAATACCGATTTTGCTATTAATATTTTGATAGATTTCATTTTCGGATCGTTCGGTTCCATAAGAATAGATAATACTTTTACCGGCAAGATATTCCTGAAATGTACGATGTATAAATCGAAAACTATTATGACCAAATTCATTGAGTAGACCTGCTTGATATTTAAATATATCGACAAGCTTAACGAGTAAAGCATCACTATCAATTTTAAAACTATTCAATGATAGACTCTGATAATCTATTAAAGATTTTCTTACTATTTCTTTTAGCATCTGCTCTGATAATCCTTCAACTTTACTATGCAAATATTCAGCTATTGCTTGTAGTATTGACCATAGAAGAGTAGCATTCAATCCAAGTTCTTGATTAAGATAATTTGTTGAAGAATCAACACAAGGACTTACTAAACGTCCTATCATTTTTTCAACCGCTTTTTCATATAAATCAATTCTTTTTTCCGGTAACTTGTCTTCATATTGATTATAGACGGCTGCAATCACACTAGCTAATTGTGGATTAATTGCCAAATGAAAAATATCTTTATTTTTAGTTATATCATTATACAATTGATTGTGGTTGTATTTTTTAGTAACTCGTCCTGTTTGATCTGCAATATCATTAATACATTTCATATATGAACTACAAAATAATTTGAGAGCATCATTCGACATATTTTCAATAGTCAATCTTGGAATATAAAAGTTGATTTCGTCAAAATAATTTCCTTCGATACGACTCGTTATAATAAATCGATTGCCAGTATTAGGATCTTTGGTATTATTTATTTCTTTTTGTTCATAAGTCGAATGAGTAAGTCTATTAAATGTTACATCATAGTCTATTCCGCGTTCCAATAATGTGTTAATTTCTTTCATTAAATCCGTTCGATCTACATGGGCAGGAACTTCATCTAATCCTTCAAAAACAATTAAAACATTTCCTTGTACTAACGATTCTTTCATCAAACATGACAGTAGTTTGTGTTCTTCATCAGTGAAAAATATTGAATTAAAAGTAGGATTTTCATAAATAAATTGAAGTAAAGGTTTCTTTTGTTCATTTCGATTTTCTTTTATTTGATCAACATATTTCCATATTGGAATAAGAATGGGTATTTTGCTTTTGATAAAATCTTTATTTTCAAATAACATATTATTATCGCCTAAGCATTGCTTAGCCATGTTCATTACCAACCATTTCGATAGAGTAGTCTTGCCTGAGCCAGGATGGCCTAATATTAAAAAATGCTTAAACTCACTATATACTTGTTGAATTTGAAATTGTTTTGTTTCTTTAAAGCTATTGGTTTCTAGAATACTTCGTTTAAGTTTCTTCACTTTCGTATTAATAGTAGCTGCTTCATGTTCAGTAAAAATATCTCTGTTACTTAACAAAACGTTTAACCATTGATCAATCATAAAGTCTCTACAGATCGTATCAGATTTATATGCATTTTTTTCTATGATAGCTTGATTTAGTTGTCTTCGTTGATGATCGTTGAAAAAACTTGGAGATAAAAGTTTACGTTTGAACTCTTCATTGGTTTCGAGCATTTTCATTGCTCGAATCGATGGATGCGTTGGATCAAATTTTAATTCAACATAAACACTTTCCAGAGGCAAACTAATGTTAGCATTAGAATGACCAAATATTGATACATGTCCATATTCATGAATGAGATAATTTAAATATTTCTTACGAACGCTTTCTTTTTGGATCGTAAATGATAAACTTTCACGAATTATTGGTGTAAACGATTTTAGACCTCTAATAAAGGGTAGTAGATCTTCTAGAGTATTGCCATATTGTACTTCGTGAATAGTTTCTGGAAATGCAACGTTTGATATTTGATTGAACGTTTTATTTTCACTGGATAGAATAAATTTATAGATGGTTAATGGTGTGCCATCGGTTAACTCAACTATCCATTTTAATAGCGTCGAAAAATTTGGATCAGACAATCCAGAACCGAATCCAAAGAATATTAAAGTTTTTGTTTCCAAAAGTCCTCTCAATTTTGATTGTTCAAAGTAATACTGACGAATTCGATTGTAATCATCGCTAGTGAAAATTATACTATCTGATTCTTCGAAATGCCCGTGTACATGTAGAATATAATTTTGCAATCTCTCCAACGAATCATCGATACCGTCAGTATGATATTTACTCCAAGTTAATGTTTTTCTATTAAGTGTGTCTTCGATAAGTGAGTCATAATTAGTTGTTAAAATTGGACATCCTAATTCTCCAATAGCCTCAATGAGTTCTGGTCTCTTCGCTAATAATTTTCCTACTGTCTCTCTTAACCATATTCTAAACATATCGTTTTTTTTCCTTTCACTTTGCATTTTAAAAGAATTTTTAATTAGATGAGCTGCAAACAAATAGTCATCTACCTCGGCCGTATTACTCTTGGATTTGTCATTGAAATCGTTAAAATCTTCGTCGCTGATCCAGCCTGATTGATAGCATCGTTGAAGGCCATGTTTCAGTAACCCCTTCCAACAAGAAACTTCTTGTTCGCTGTTTGTTGTATAAACCGATACACCTGCACCAATAAATATTATCGCCTGATTCAAAGCGATAGCCTGTTTAATTTTTTGAATTTCATCAGCCATTTTTCGTCCAATTTACTTTTGAAAACTTACGTAAAAATAAAAATAAATATTCTAGACAAGAAAGTTAGAAAAATGTGAATTTTACACTTCGAAAAAAATCTGTATCATCGCATGTTTACATGTCTCATTTAACAATGTCAGTTGATTACAAAATAATCAATTATTGATCGTTGATAAAATAGTCACACCTAACTGAAGATGATATAGAACAAGTAGTCGTACACTTAGCAGATAGTCCTTAATTACTTATAGCTATTGATGTCTGCTACCTATTCATTTCAAATTTCACATATAAGTATTGAACAAATTCTAATTAAAGAAAAAGAGAGAACTGTAATTGATGAGTAGTCCTTCTCAAAATAGTCATCATTAGCTTGAATGCGCTAGTGAAAGTAGCATTGTATTGCACGATAGATTTTACTATTTTGTCGAAACATGTTAACAATTTTCATTTTACAGCTAATCCAAGAGCATTAGTGTCTTACAATAAACTATGTAATACCCCAAACAAGGAAATCAAGAAGTGTCAAGTCAGAAGAAGTTAGTGACTCTTTGATTAGATCACAATATTCTATCCATATGTTCGGAATCAAGTCGTTCAAATCGCTACGAGCAAGCTGACTGGAGTGAATAGACTTGAAAATACTCTATACGTATGAACAAGTTGGAAAAATCCCAAAGAACGCTAAGATAATATAGTTGTAAAACTTCAAAATAATTTGTTGGAAAAGTCAGGATACAAGAAGTGGATTCATTCAAACTTTCCAAACGTCATATAAACCTCAACTTGCACACTAAGATATAAACAGAAGTGAAAAAGAATTTTTGATGACTGCAAAAAGCACATTATCTACTCTTCTGAATACTCATCCACGTCTATTTACTTTGAGCAAAATGACGACATTCGTCCGTCAGATGAAAAATAAAAATTGACTGATTATTTTATTGTCAGAAAAAAAGAGAAACATTTTCTTCTTCCTCACATCGCATTTAATACCAAACAAACTGTTTCGTTCTTGATGAAAGAAAAAACAAATTTCCAAGTTTGATGGCATTTTGTTTTACGACCAATGCTCGAGCAGAAAAAGAGACTGCAATGCGCGTCACATTCAAAGCAACGTATGGTACTTCTAGAGGAAAAAATGGGTAAAATAATGTAACTTGAAATTACGAAATTATTTTTCGTGTACGTATTCTCAAATAATTTGATATGTTGTTCTTTCAGTTCATAAAATCCTGTTTTAAAAGTTAGAAACAAATTATCTATAGTCGTCTGGCTTTAGTAATTTTGTTTCGCTCACTCACATTTTTTCATGAATATAAATACAAAGAAGGAAAGCTAGGAGCAAATATGACATTCTTTAAAGCATCTTGCATAAAAGGATATCATGACTGTGATCTGTGTATGTTGTTTATAGAAAATCTTTTATATCAACGTTCGTATACAAATCTAATTTGAGCCTGTTCTCTAAAGTTAAAATAGTATTCGAACGGACATCACTATTGAGTTTTAATACTTACCGAAAGATATTAGACTTCTTTGTAACGTCTTTCATAGCAAGGGTGTGGGGTGTGGGTGTGATTGGTAATGAATCGATATACCACACCCACACCCTTAAATCATTAGTTGACAGACTCAGTTTCCTTTAAGTGATAATAATTGAATAGCGCTTGAAAAAGCGATTATTCACTGCCTAACGTAGTGGTGAAAAATGCACTCATACTGTTTGTTGTATAATTTGAGTTACCGTTTTCGTCAATTTTATTCAGCTATTTAAACTTTGAATGTTGACAATTCAGTACTACGATGTTCAGTTTTGATGTAAAATATGGCAAGACGATATTTTTTTTGATTGTAAGCGACCTTTTATTTTTCATTTCTTAAAATTCTTAGAAACAAATCATGATTGTGATAAAAAAGAAAAAACATGTCGTTGCAACAGCCATTAAGTTTTTAAAATAACTGATCGAAATATAGGGTGAAAAGAAAATATTTATTGCTAAGAGATAATCGTTAGACATACATCTGGATGTGAACTATAGAGCAAAAATATCTCTGTCTTCAAACTAAAACATACTATTCGTAATTCACTGATTTTAATACTCAATGTGCTATATGTGTACTGATAAACTTCAATGTTACCTCTGCAATCATTGTGGAGGAATCTATTCACACACGACACACTCTTTTAATTATTATTGTTTCTAATGTAAAGTTCTCTAAAACATGAAATACTCCACAGTTTTTCAATATCTAATGATTCGTTTGTCTATGTCTATGTCAAAGAGGAGTTAACTTTGGGAAAAGAAAAATGTAGGCACAACATATTTACTATGGAATCATTGAAGCCAGAGCTGCCAATAGGCCACTTTTTTTCAGCCTGACCTAGCTTGACCTGCAGGCCAAACCAGGTCGCCTAGTGTTTTAGATTTTCAGATTCAGTACATTAACAGTTTAGCAAAAATTTAAGAAATCAGTTTCAATTATCTATTGAATGCGTTCTTATAAAAATAATAAAGTAAAAGCTCATGAAAAAATGCAAAATGGAAACAAAATAACTTTTATCAGTGTTTCTTGCACAAAAAATACTAGAATTTAATAATATAAAATCAAAACCAGGCCAATAAGTTTGGCCTGGCATGGCCTGCAGGTCAGGTCAAAATTTCAAAAACTCAGCCTTGCCTATAGCTTAGACTGCGACCTGGCAAACTCCTGCCAGGCTGCTGGTCAGATTAGCAGCTCTGATTGGAGAATATTTTCTCCGCGCAGTTTAATAATTCAACAACGAAAAAAAAGTGTATATCGTAAAAAGAGCGATTCAATCGTTCAAATAAGACTTCATCACCACTTCCGTATCTAATGCTTTTCGAGAGCCTAAAAGCTATGAAAATGATAGACTCGCAAATGAAAAATTATTTAGCGTCACGATAAAAATCAGTATTATATTTTTCGAAGCAAAATATTGGAAGTAGTTTGGGTTTATTTTCGATTAGAACTCATATAAATATGAATATGGAAGTAGAAACAATAAAAATTGTACTCAACTCCTCCATTTTCCTATTCAATTGGTGAATTAGACTTTCTTTAGTAGTGCAAAAACTTCTGTATTCGATGATTGCCATAATCTGCGACATATACATTGAATTGACTGTCGACTGCCAATCCAAACGGTAAGTTTAGTTGATTTGAGTTACTGCCTGATGAAAGAGTAACACCTGCAATTGTAGTGCCATTAGACTCACCAACTCTGAAAAATTGTATTCGATGATTGATAGTATCAGCAACATATAAATTTCCCAACGAATCGAGTTTGACATCACCTGGTGATCTAAGCAATGTCGAGTTGCTACCAGCCAATCCACCAATACCTGCTACAAGTGTCCAAGTACTGGCACCCAATACCCAGCGAACAATGTTGTTGGCACCGAAATTGGCAATGTAAAGACTGTTTGTTGACGAATCCAAATAAAGACCCACCGGATAATTTAACTGTGTATTACCATTTCCTGCTCCATTTCCGCCAGCAACTACACTTCCTGATGTGGCGCCAGACAGATATTTCATAACACGATGATTGTTATATTCAGCAACGTAAAGGATGTTTGAGTTCCAATCGTATGCAATACCATGAGGTTGATCAAGTTGATTGTTCGAGGAGCCAGCAACACCTGTAAATAAATTGACAATATCTCATGTTTGCGTAAGCACATTGATGTTTTGTGTGATAGAATGAATAGATCAATTGTTTTCAGAGATTTAACTACGCTTATCAAGCGTCACTCTGAAAATCATTATTCTAGTAATTATAGGGGAATAACAGATACGAAATGTGTACTACGTGAACAGTGAATGACTAAATATAATGGGGGAATTGGATTTTCCAGGGAGAAAAGTGCCTTAGCTGATATCTACTGATTGACGTTATATGCAATGATCGAAAGTTTGTGCTTTGGCTAGAAAACGTATAGTCGATGTGCTACATTAACTGATAATTTATAATGGATTTTTTTCGAATTTACCAAAAGCCAGTCAGAATTTTCACACTCAAAACTTTTTATGAAGTTTTATCAAGAGTTTACTGAGTCGGTTGGGCAAATTATATCAATAAGATTTGAAACTTGCTTCACTTGAAATTGATTTTAACTACTTGCATTAAGTGACCAATATTTAATTATCGATTTTTCGTTAGTTTTTTTAGAATGCACAAAGAATTTTTGTGAATATATGAAATATGATCTGTATGAACTCTGATGAGTGCTTGTAAAGTAATATTTTGATTTCGCAACAGCTAGGAGGGAATTCTACCGAAAGTAGATTTTCTTAATGCAATCCGTTAAGCTTAATTTTCAGTAGATTATGTACCAAACAGTAAAGCTCCACTTAACTTTAAGTTAAAATAAATCGCTCAACTTTACTCGGAAAACCTTCGAACGAAATGTATTCATTTATGTGTATTTTGGAGTGTACGCACCGAGAGAAACATTTCAAATTACAAACTGCATACTACGAGAACAGTTCGATAAGGAATTTCAAACCGTAAGATTTTCTAGATTGAACTGACCGACATTTTTCAACGCAGTAAAAGATACATCGATTCCCTTAATCAAAACAAAACTTTGTTTTCAGTCAAGCAAATGACTTCAAAGCAGACAACCATAGTGCATCACAACATAGATATATCAAGCCATTTGCATATATTTTTCATTCAGAAACTTATTCGAGATTTTCGTTTTCATTCTATACATAATTGTGATTTGCATATTTCCGCTATCTAGTCACTTCATGATCATAGATGATTTGGAACATTCTGACATATTTTTTGCTGAAAAAATGAATGTTTGATATTAAATTATGAGCATTTTGCCTGAATGCATCAATAAAATGTTGAGAGAGCATACAAGAAAGGATAGAACCTACTATTAGGGATGTTCTCTCTGAAAATGTTTTAGAAAAATAATATTTCAAAATACTTCATACCATTGCCGGCGACGATTGCACCCATAAATGTGGTATTTGGCCAGAATAGAACTCGATAATTGAAAATTTCTGTCACATAAAGGTTTCCATTTGAATCGACCTCCACATTGCCTGGATTATTTAAACAATTCAGTGCAACACCCGATGTTCCACTGGACTGTCCGCACACTGTGGTTCCACTTGACGCTCCCGTGGGCCATCTCTGTACCCTGTTATTACCACGATCGGCAATATAAATTGTGTTCGCTTCATCCAATTTCACGCCAAACGGATTAGTGAGTCGGTCAGCACTTGTACCCGAATAACCGGTGATACCAGCAACAGTGATTCCTGTTGAGTTCCATCCAGACGAAAAGATGGTCGCTGTAGAAATATTCATATTGACTTTGATGAAAATTATGCTTTATATCGAATAACTTTTTTTTTATAACGGTTATCTAATAACTTCCTATATAAAAATTTTTATCCAAAAAACTGACTATTAAGCACTTTCAATAGTATGTTTTAAGCAGGACAAAGTGCTTAATAGTGAACCTTTTAAAATATTTTTCATAGTTTTTGACGAGAAAGTACTATAGAAAGTGGAAAATAGTAAGAAAAGTTACTTTATTTTACTTTATTACTATTAAAAGTAATTAAACGTGACTTTTAGTTCACTTGTTTTTATATGGGTTCTCACATACTCAATATCGATGATAAAAAGCAGAGATGTCTACTATTCAGACATCTTCTCATGAAATTGCAGAAAGAGACTGTTTTAGTTGCCACGTGAGCGATAGAATAAAATGACATATTTTGATTGAAATGTATGCTCAGGTACGCTTTCTATGAGACCCATAAAGAAAATGGGATCTTTAGTAAATAGCAACTAATAGTATTAGAATGGTAAATTTTGCTCTGCATACGATAACGTATATTCATTATGCGTTCGGAGGAAAGTCATATAAGTTCAGAGCTGATAAACCTTAAACTAAATTAACTCCCAATAGCACTGCTAGACGTTTGAATTTTTCCGAAATTTTTAATTGTTCTGATGTCTGCTGAGATAGTTTCAAAATCTTGATTTCTTCGCTGTTCACTTGTGTAAGGAAGTACTGTACATAAAATCGTGTTAGATAGTTCCCTGTCTTCATCATATTTTTGAGAATGAGACAGTGAGAGGCAAGAACCACGTCAGCATCCCGTCCACGCACCAAAAACCACATATAAAGTAAAGACTAGTATTACTCTCTTAGATGCTTACAAAAAATCGCTTATGTATGCCTTCATATGTATTATTTCTACTTGGCAACGACATTGAGTGGATGTTCCATTTGGTATGTATAGAAAAGGTCGAAAAACAAATGTCGAATGATAGTGTGGTCAAAACAAACTGTCGAAATTTTAAAAATAAGATAGTTGGACAATTCAAATGTAAATAACTTTATTGATGCTTTGAAAATAGAACCTTTTTTTTAAATATTGGGGGTATGGCTGCGAGTGTTGATGAAACGAAGATATACGAACACCCATCTATAAGAAAAATCAACTGGTATATATATTAAAAAATAAATTCTTCGAATGATTCTTTGGTTTGTCGATGATTATTTTTTCTTTTAATGTAACAAGTAACGCGCGTCTGTGTGACTCGCTTGACCCTCGACTGAATGTTTGACTACTTCGAAATTTTTACTGTTACACACTCAATTCATAAGCTAGCAACTGGCGTATGTATCTGTTTGTGTGAATGCGAATATTAATATAAAAATATGCGTCGACCTGTGTAAAGCCATGCGTGTTCTTGGGATGCTGCTTGCCATACCGCTCATTCAACTAAACTGATGCAATTCGATTAATACCCAAAGTAAATCTGTATGATCCACAATAGTACAGCAATATCCACAGGTTCCGAAAAAGATAAAGTATATTCGATATGTAGGGAGAATCAACAGACAAAATATGTGTGAGACAATAGAGTGAAAATGCACTGTACTTCTCAAAAACTATCATAATAATCCGTGTACTCACCAGTAGATAACCGAGCATAACATATGCCAGTGATTACTACAAAAATAACTACTTTTCAGAACTTTCAGATTAAAATAAATCATGTTGCTTCAAACTAATACCTTTTACATGTCATTTGAGGAAAACTTGCATTTAGATCTAAAGCCCTCGTTGGATTAAAAGGTTAATTCTAAAATATCCGAAGAAATTTAGACAAGTGAATGGATAGAAATAAGGATACATAAAGACAGAAAAACGCATTTAATCCAATTGAAATCTACATCGAATGAAATTATGTAAATTGCTTAATTGACATTTTTCATGCAATGTTCTATTCCAATCGTGGACACGTCCAGCAAACTGTTCCCATCCTCATCTTCACCTTCAAATATACTTCTTAGCTTTTTTGCCGAGTTCTCGCTTCCATTAAAACAAGTAAGATCTAACTAACAGAGATTCTCCCCATGGATGTTGAGTATTACAAGCACTGCTTTAATGACTCCCGTGAAGCAGCAGTTAGTCGCTCGTCGACTCCCCTTTGGGGTGCCACTCACAGCTAACTGCTGCTCTTCTTAACTGTACACCACCAATGACGAATCTCTTACTCTGTATTACGACACCTCTTGATTTCACAATTACGACTCAAATATTCAAACATTGACAGAACAAGTCGGATTGATACTGCACGATTTTATGACCTCTGATTATATGTCCATTTGTAAAATATACTCCACTTTCAATGAATGAATCTTCGGTATGCACAGGCACTCCAAAATAGAACTTTAGCACAAACGTCCGGTGTAGAGCAGAGACACATTTACACGTGTTTTCACTTTACAATCCACATAAAGTCATGATTACATCAAACTTACGTAAAAGAGAACTTAATGCTGAATCTCTGTTATTTTTCTTCACTAGATAGAGATATGCACACAAAAAATATACTTTCAATGATATCACCATCTTTTCACTATCAGCAAAAAATTTGATTGTTGATTCGACTGCTTTCAAGCCAGTGGGAAGTTCAGACAGAATATCTGATCTCAGATTGGGAATCCTTGTCGTCGTTAACCTACAGCAAAGTTCACTCAAAACGGTCAAAACTCTTAAAATAAGAAACTTCGTTTTTGATTGGTCAGTTTCCCACCAATGAAACCTCGGCCAAAGAAATGGGTTTTGAATTCGGATTCGGGGTCATCGATAACCTATAGCAAAGTTCCATTAAAACGGCGAAAAGCCATACAATGAAAAAGTTCATTTCTCATTGGCCGGTTCCGGACCAATGAAACCTCGGCTAAAAAAGACACTCCAGATTCGGTTTCAGGGCCCTCGGTAACCTGCAGCAAAGTTCGATCAAAATGGCCAAAAGTCTTAAAATAAGAAAATGTGTTTCTGATTGGTAGACTCCCGACCAATGAAACTTCGGTCGAACAAACGGGCTTTGGATTCGGATTCAGGGACCCCGATAACCTATAGCAAAGTTAGATCAGAACGGCCAAAAGTCTGAAAATATGCTAACCTCTGGTAAATGTTGTTTGACCCCAATCAAGCAAGCAAGATCAAAAACGCATTTTATTTTGTATGACCCTCCTTCCAGTCGAGGGAACATTTCCTTCGTCCAGAAAACTGAACTCAAAATTTCTGAAATCTGACTTCAGAATCGGATTCCCCGACCCCGATAACCGTAAGGAAAGTTAGATGAAAATACGGTTAAGCTTAAAACGAAGGAAAGTGCGTAGGATGTTTTTTTGACCTGCCACAAACAGACAGACAAACGCATTTTTTTTCATATGACCCTCCCTACAGTCGAGGGAATAATTGTGCCATACAATGAACAATGACCAAGAACGCCGTACGGTAACTTGGGATGCACCAGTACACTCGGACTCGGTCCCAGTCCGACTGATCCCTTAGTCGAACTGAGCGGGGTCGACTTATCAGGAATAGGACAGTAGTATATCCAGTCATATTAATTCGACCTCTAGTAACAATTGATACCCAATCCGACTGAGACCCAGTCTCTACTGGTAACGCTAGCTACGAACAGTATCCAATTTAAGACTAAATTGTTTATTTACGCCATCTTCGCCGTTTTTAGTTACAACATTTTGTTTTCGATCTTTTCTATACCATTCTTCCATTCGTAGTGCTCAATCTACAGCTGCATTCAAATTAGCGAGCACAAACAGGAAGATTACTGCTTGCTGAAACAAAAAATGATCTGTTCGTCGAAATAATTACTAACTAAATAGCTACTAATCAGTTTTTATTTCACCTAAGAATAAAATAAGTGAATGTTTCGTCCAAAAAAACAATCAACTTGAAAATATGTTTTCTCTAGGCAGTCGTGTTACCTCAGACTACTACAAATCTATATACTGGATTTTGGAATCCGTTAACTGATTCCGATAATGGTGCCATAACTATTGAGTTGCACGGAATTCATATCTATTATACGGTTGACTAGATGTACTGTTTATTTTCTCACATTGTTTCACAAGTGCAACTTATTCGTCATAAAAATGAGCTTATTATAGTATGCGTTAGAGTATGAGTTTCAAGCTGAGCTCTTATTAAATGATAGATATATGCTTTACTTGTAGTAGTGCTAACAGTCGTGGTGGTTGTTGCAGCTGTGGTTGTTGTATCTGTCGTAATTGTGGTCACAGTAGTTGAACTATGATTGATTGACGAGGCTTTTGTATTATTTAGAACTAGGACAAAAACACCAACTCCCATAGCTGCAATAGCGGCTGCGCCGAGAAGGACAACAATACTAATCAACCAGCATGAACACTTTATCTGATGTACATTAGCAAATGGTCTTCGTTTTCTATTGATGAAACCAATAGTTATATTCTTATATAAAACTTTTTCTTTTAAAATCAGAATAATCTCACTTTTCATGTTTTTTCGATGCCAGTTTTGTATGATCGGTAGTAGTCGATGATACTATGTTGTTTTTTCGGTTATTTGTCATCAGCTCTACTGATGATGATGACTTCAATTCAGAAGTTGCTGACAATTTCAAGGCACTGCTAGAAGTCGCAGACTGATCAGTCGTGCATTTCACATTCTTATCAATTGGTGTAATTTGAGAAATAGAAGAAATTTTGCGTCGGTGTCTGCCTAGCTTTGACACATGAGATACTAAAGTAGACCGATGCTTGCCCATTCTCGATAAAATAAATAAATAAATTCAATTTTATTTCTTTCCACTCATTTTCAGAGTATGCAAAAATATTTTATATCTTAGAATATATGCACGAAGCTTTTTGTATGATGAAGCTCTGTAGTATTACATAGTATTTTAATTGAATTTTCACACAGCCACATTACAACATTGGGATGTCGACAAAGCAAGGCATCATATTTTATTTCTTTTTCGCCAATTCATTGCATTATGTAAAAGAGTACATGAATAGATGAAACCAATATATTATTGCAAATTTTTTTCATTTGTTGATTAACCCAGCAAAATTTGAAGAAAGTAAAAATTCGTGATCGGAACTATTGTCTGTTGAACGAGATGGGAATCTTATTTATAATTAGATTAGTGATTTAAGCATACCATTTCATTTATAGCTAGTCTTATCCGATAAATTATCGACCTATCTCATGTGGAATACATTTAAGTTCTCATAGTCATTCATCGATTCAATCTAGTTATGTAGAAACAGTATTCTGAATCGAAAAGCTCTAGTAACAGAAAGAGTAGTTTTTCTTTGCGATATCTAGATATCAGAAATCGATAAGAGCTGCACTTCAGAATTCATTCTATTCAATTGCATCCATGTGACGCAGTCTTGCATACTGGCATGAGCAAGAGGGAAAAGGCGAGACTCCCGTACTCCAGCATACTTCCTGTACTCCCAGGCGATACGATAATAATTCTTCGAAGAGTTTTAGCACTTTTAAGTCTACTATCCACCTGTGTTACGGTATACTAGTGGGAGTCCCGCCAACCCAAATCTATCTGACAATAAGGCCAAAATACTTCATTGTACTCCAAAATTTCAAATGAATGAAATAAAAGGAAGTATTTTGGCCTTATTGTCAGATAGATTTGGGCTGGTTGTACTCCCGCTAGTATACCGTAACATAGGTGGATAGTAGACTTAAGAGTGCTAAAACTCTTCGAAGAATTGTTATCCTATCGCCTGGGAGTACAGGGAGTATGCTGGAGTACGGGAGTCTCATCTTTTCCCCCTTGGTACATGTACTAAATACAGTTTTTTGTACTAGTACCGGTACTGGTACAAAAAAAGCGTACTCAGTACATGTACTTAAGATTTTATTGTACTGAGTACGAAAAGTACTAATTATTGTACTAAGTATTCAATGGCAGATCAAGCGACTCTGAAATCGATGGTGATTTTGCACTATTTAAACTGCAAGTTCTGATCAATCGACCATCTCGTCTTTACTCACTGACAATTGGGCACTGGGATGCATCGATTATTACGCATCTACCACTATATCTTACTGGTAACTCCATATCTCAAATCTATATACAAATTATCATTATTAAAAACGTGATCACTGTTTCAATAGAGAACAATGTGCGGCATTTTTTCGTTCGTCATGGGCCAAGCAATGTGAAGTTATGCAAATTATCATCAATCATCGATCAAGTATAGATGATCTAATCAACGTAGTGGCCAATATTCAAGTGACAAAGGCCATTTTTCAACCTGGTGAACGACGCAATTATTTTCCCAGTCGATGAGCATTTACTATGTGGATAACATCGAATTATTCACGTAGTTTCACAGAAAACTTGACTTGCATTGAACCGATTCGACTGTGGAGTTGTAAATAGAGAAATAAAATGTAAATTGTTAGTAGATTAACTAGAATTGAAACTTTTTTTCCGTTTGTTTGTGTGTTAAATAATAGAAATAAAACTTGAAATTATGAATAATATATTTGATTAAAAGAGATATGAAATTGTTTATGTAACTGGACTATACATTAGGTGAAAACTAAACTTCATTGAGTATGTGGATATGGGTCAGTGTGAATAACAACAAATTGTTTTATTCTTAGTTGACTTAATACACTTTTTTTATCTAAGAAAATTCATTTTTCTTATAAAGTTTCCCTCATATTTCAACATATATGATAACATATATGAGAGACATCTATTCTACTAAATAATATTTCGCATATTCTTATATCTAAAGTAAATTCGTTGTAATGTTAGAAGAAAATATTTAAAATATGACACACGATGAAAATATTAAATTTAATAATGATTTAAATTTTAAATCGCATCGATCAGTCGTATATTATGCATATTGTATTAATTCATTATTACAATCTTTAGCAACACCTAGCTGGTGTAGAAATCTTACGTAGAGATGATATTGCAGCTGAAGCGACGGTAGCTGCTCTTAATGTCACTGAAGCGTGTTCATATGGTATTGGTGGCGATTGTTTTGTTTTATACTGTAATCATCAAACAAAACGAATTTCGTTTTTAAATGAAAGTAATCGAAATCCGAAAAGTTTTACATTAGATATACTTCGATAAATGGGAATAAGAGAACAGCAGATTCCATCCAATAATTTAAATGCAGTTACAGGTACTGTTGATTCTTTTCTTTAGACTATTCTGAGGTCAACCGAATCTATACGAAAATTGTTATATCTGACTTGCACACATTGACCTTGTCTCATATATAACAAGAAACAAGCCAATCTATTTGCTTACTAATTTAAACATAGTCAATGGTTTCTTTTCCCTTTCTCTTTTTTTTATATTATACATAAATTTGAACACCGCTCATGTTCAAGAATAATAATTTTGGCATGATTAGAGTCAGTTATATGCAATTGTGACAAATCATATATTATTTCAACTGGAATTGAAAAGGCTATTTTGTTAGTGATGAAACTAATGTTTTCTTTTGGATTCCTAGTGCGAAGTAGAACTTTATCCATAAATAGAAATGGATTTTAAATGAAAAGTTTACAAAAAACAACAACAACAATTGTAAAATCAATAATATGACTTAAGCCTATCTGGATTCAGTGAAATATTCAGTTTAGTGGCTGAGTTGACTGAATTTGAATTCAAGGTCTTCTTCGTTTTCTTCTTCTTCTAATATTTCGGCTGCTTGAATTTGGTAGGATTGTTCAAGTTGATCTTGTTGTAAGATCAATAGCTGTACTTCCACGTGTCTTTCAAGTTCATCTTGTTTGACTTGTTGTGCTTGTAATAATTCTTCTTCTGTTTGATATTGTACTGAATGTTCAATATGGAGATGAAGTGATGTTGATGGTTGTGGTCGAAGGGATTGTTCATATTGTTCGAGTTGTTCGTGTGCTGCTCGTTCGATCGGGTCCATACTTTCAAGTTCTAACAGTTGTAAGTGTTCATGAGGATCTACGTCATCGAGGTCTTCAGAAAAACCACGCGACAAATAATATTGATGTTCCCGTTCGATGTCACTGTCGCTTCGGTATCTATGACGAGTTGCTATTATTGGCGTCGATTGTCGTTGTTGTCGTTGTCTTTCTCGCTCTTGTCGTTGTTCCTGTTGTCTTTGTAGTCGTTCTTGTTGTTGTACCTGTTGTCTTTGTATTCGTTCTTGTTGTCTCTGCTGTCTTTGCTGCTGTTGAATTGGCGTTTCATTTTGTTCTCGTTGTTGTTGGCGTTGGCGGTCTCTTTGTTGTTGTTGTCTTCGTCTTTGGGTTTCTTGTAGTTGTCGTTGACGTAGCTCCTCTCTTTGTTGCAGTTGCTGTTGCTGACGTCGTTGCTGTCGACGTTGGCGATATCTTCTTCGAGCTAGTTGTCTCGTGGTTACGATAGGATGTAATGCATTGTTAGGATTTCCTGGTTTTTGACTTGGCATTCTCGTAGTCGTGGACCATGCCATGAGTGGTTGACTTGTAATCTGTATTTCGGCAGATAATAATTGATCAAGATTGATTTCTCCATCATTATTATCTAATGATGGCTCGTTTGGAGAGCTATGATTCATCA